TGAATGGAACTAGGAATTAAAATAAGAAGAATGGTACTTAATTTATAGATACATATCCACTTTATCGTTATAAGTATTATCAGAAAGGGGTTTTGTGGAGATTGTAGTAATTTAGTAGTTGGATTCATGAGTCACTTAAAGCTAGACCACCGTGGAAAACCTGAAAGCACTGGACGACTGTATCGTCCTATTGTGGGATCTCTTAGCAGTGCGCATCCGATAATAAAAGCATCTTACATGGTATTGATTAATTCAACAGTGATAATGTACTTTTATCAATTCGTTGTTTGTTTGTTCAAATTAGTACTGAAGACTATTTTTGTCATTCAGCTGATTTTCATGCCATCATTCAATAAACAATTTTAATTTTAAATGGTCTATTCGCGAATACCTTATTGTTTTCTTGTTTGCTTCTTTTTTTAGGCCAGAAATCTGAATATTAATGAAGATCTCGATCCCTTAGATGTGGAAATAAGCTATGTCCTACCATTAAGTAATGATCTCTAACTCCTGGAAATTGTTAACAAAGCTGCAAATATACTTAAATATTATTTCAGAAGTAGAAAAATATAACAAAATATCTTTTGGTCATTTGTAGACCAATGTTTGATACATTACAATTATTATTGCGACATGTACAACGTGGATAATCTAGTCTTTTAAAGTACACATTATTCAAATTAACTTTTCCATACTGGTATCAGAAGGGGTTTTGTGGAGATTGTAGTAGTTTCAATAGTTGAGATCATGAGTCGATTGAAGCTAGACAACCATGGACAACCTGGAAGCACTGAACGGCCGCTTTGTCCTATTATGGGACTCTTCAGCAGTGCACACCCACGACCCCGCCTTGCGAGATCCGGACCCAGGACCTGTCAGTCTCACGCGCGAGCGCTTAACCACTAAGCCGGCATCCAACGGTGTTAATGTTTAACTTCAACTAATCCACGGAATTGAGCGACACATCCACCACTGTCATCAGTGAGTTACTATCTCACAACTGACCCGGTTGCTTAGATAACCTCTGAGAATCTTAAGTACAATCGTAAATTCCTTCGCATACTATGATAGACCTTAAAAATCTATGGGACATGTTCATTGCTTCAATAAGCGTTATCATAGAATAGATTTCAATACACATTTCCAACAAACACTAAATTTTCTAGAATGAATGAGTATTTAACAACTTTCTATATTTATTTATCGATTTTCCTTATAGCTCATACTAACCACACCTCATAACATAAAATCAGTTAAGTATACAGGGGGTAAGGATGTTTTAGAATCAGTACATTCGAATCTGCATACATAAGTAGAATAAATTGTAAGTGTTATAACTTGTGGCTTTGTGCTCCAATCAATGCACAACGTATTGATCTCACCAATTGGAGAACAGGGAATTATCGACCGAACCAATGACGCATAAAACAAGTACGAGCAGCCTGGAGTCCTTATCGGTCCTGCTTCCATGCTAGCTCTGCCTGTTAATTCCAGAATAATCTCAGCCTCGCGATATGAATCAGGTATTTCAGACATACTGGGTTTATATACAAACCGAACGAACCACTTCGTACCATAAAATAGAAAGTAACATTTGTACAAGATCTAGCCAAAAAGTGGCTGTGAATGTGGGAGGTAGTAATTGATAGACTGGGCATAACTCAAGAATGGTAAATCGTATAATAATAGTTCATAGGTCAAAGTAAAGCTTATAATAAGAGAAACACGAATATGAATAGTTTAGATTTTTAACAATTATACAATAAAAATATACGTATAGTATTCGTCCAGAAAGAGATCCCAACAGTCACCATTTATTATTCTCATCGGGATATAACAGTACGCTTTGGTATGGAGACACCGTTAGGTGTGATCGATAAACGAACCCACCAATGACAACATTAGACGCCCCCCACCACACTAACTCTCTTTGACCTTGCATGACAATGCCTTGTTTATTAATCAATCATAAGTTTTGTTTGTCATAAACGATACTAGGTTTGTTAACTCATTATTCTTACCTCTAGTGGATGTTCAGTATGTTAATTATGCCTCTTCATCCCTGTTTATTAAGCTGAAATAATTATTTTCTGTACACTAACAGTGTTAGTTTACATTTTAGAAACAGATAAAGTTTATCAAGCCAAATAGCGTACTTATTCTAACTTTGGTTAAGTAAGACTCTGTGCTCAATAGTCTGGGAGTAGTTTAGAATATCGTCTTAGGAAATTACTTCCTAGAAAATTTCAAACGGTAAAATCGATATACCTAATGAAATGACTTTCAATAAGTACTATGATTCTGATGGGATTCTGTAGTTGTCACTTCATCATCTGGGAGATTATAACGAGGACCAACTTGGAAGATATGAACTCAGGACCAAATGCCTGACAGGATTAGTGTTAGCCAAGTTACGTGTAACCCAGTTGCAAAAAGAAATTGAACTAGAAAGTTACGTCTCTAGAGAACCGAACGTCCCGGTCAATCAGTAAACGACAGTGAGAATGCAATACTAGAAATTTTGTATTTACCAAAGACAGAAGATGCGATGGTACACTAATAACTTACTGGGATTTTATTAGAAACTTCGAAACATATATTGGATTTATAGCCAAGTTGAATTACTTAATCTAGTATTGTGACGGAGGATCGAGAGCCGCTATCCTTCATTGTACTATGCTGGAACCGGAGGTAGGTTATCGCCAAGTTTTAAAGTCTTTGGAGGAATCGTTTGATCAAAGACACGTAGCGCGCACATTTATTGACAACTACTGAAATTACCAACTCATGTTCAACAAGAGTGGCTAAAGGAGCTCATGAGATTATTGAGAGGGGTTGAGAGCCTTTGTTTGGCTATCTTACTGAGTTTGCTAAGGAACAGGTTGATATGACTAATACCAGATCTGGCCTACATGTTAACCGTGGTAGTAATGGTGACCATAGAGATGTTGGTATCGTCAAGGGAAAATCTAGTGCAGGTTACAACACAGTAAGGATATCCCATACAAGTACTGGTGATAACAATGTTCCCTTACATGTCGGCTATGGTTACCGTAGTTCATCTTGTTTGAAGTGCTCAGAGAATCATTCTTTAGATCAGGGCCAGAAGTTTGAAGATAAGGATGTTAGTGAAAAGAAGGGATTTGTTCTTAAGCAGAAGTTGTGTAAAGTTTGTTTAAAGGCGAACCATGTAGCGGAAAAATGTCAGTCACCAAGACCATACTTGGTTGAAGGGTGTGGTTGGCGGCACCATACTGTGCTTCATATGAAGTGGGGGGCGGACGAACGCTTCAGGACGTTCATGTCATCGCTTATCAGTGTAGAGAAACAGAAGACGGAGCTGAAAAGCACAAAAAATACGCTCGGGAAGGAGTCGCGTTAGCTATAATTCTTATACTATTAAATCATGGCAAGGAAGTCATTCGGACCCGCGCCTTTTTAGATAGTGGATCAGACACTTCTCTCATTGTAGATGATCTGGCCAACGAGCTAGGCCTCGATGAAAAGCCTGAAATAGTGTACTTGAAGACTCGTGATAATAAATCGTCGTCGGTACGCAATGAGGTCGATATAGAATTGCATTCGTTAGATTTTTCGTCGTCTGTTTAGATCCAGAAAGTGTTGACGGCTGAAAGACTACTGTCAGTATACAGAACTGTACCAACGGCATATCAGATAGGGTCTTGGTCCAACTTAAAGGACACAAATTTTCCAGGAGTAGAAAACGAGAATGTCAAGCTGTTAATTGGGTGTAATGCACCAGGCGTACACGAGACGAAAATGATAGGGATTGGAAAGGCGAATGAGCCGTTCATTACATAAGCCTACTCAGAGGGCATTATCCTTGTGTGATCGTGAAAAGGAGTCATTAAATCGATTAACAGCTCCGTTCTTTCTCACTTGGTTGATAGTGAACATCAAGTTAAAATAGATGAAGGTTTCTCTGTTTTCTATCAAGTTCCAGACGATCTACCTAAAGGAACTAGATTACGGCTCCTCTATATATCTGAAGCCATCTGGATCAATTCCAGAAAATTAGACTTATGTATCCAGAAGAGATATATCCAACCTCTATGTTTACTTTGGTTCACGACTGGAGCACCAGATACCTAAACTGTGTATAACAGACTTATTGTTATTACCTCGTATTATTACATATTATATACACACAACGCTATTGTAATTACAATTGTTACCTCGATTAAGAAGGCGAAATTCTCCTACTATGCATTTTATTCACATGGCATACTATGTTACTATCATAGTGATGATAATTTAACACTTTACTACGAATCATTCTGACCTTTGTTAAATAACTTTTCTAATTTACAAGTAACACTTTTTCGAAGTGTTTATGACGTAACAGATGCAAACGTTCACCATTTTCAACACAACATTGTCAAATTCATCATGAGGCGTCATAACTCTTCTAAATGAAGATCTTCTAACTCCCAGGGCAGAGTTTAAATAGTTTGAATTATTTTCCTGGTTGGCGTTTTTTAGCGGGTTAATTTTCTAAGGGATGGGGTTGCTAACCCCATGCCGAACCCTCCTCATTTATCGCCTGGGACCGACAGTGGCCCCAAAGGGGCTCCAGATCGTTAAACTTCATGGTTAACGTCGCGTGCTGATCTTATATCCAAGAGACTGAACACATAGTATCATTAGTATTGTATTGTAGTGTCGACTTTAAAATTTGTTTTCACTCAGATATATTACCCATGCTAATAGACTAGATTTAGTCAGCCTACTAATTTTGAAAACTCTAAAAGTCATTTGAAATTTATTTATGAAAACAAAAGGAAATAGGAGTTGGACAATAATAATAATGATTTTTGGTGATACGTAAAAAAGAAACAATGAAAATATATATTAAGAAGTTTTCGAGAAACCGACGACTTATGCTGTTATTCACTTTATATAGTACTGATTATAGCTGTTAGTATTATTAGAAGTAGTGATGGTGTGTTCATGATTCCTCGTGTAATTTTGTGCACATTTTACGAACTGGCATGATCTTCAGTTTCTTCTACGAGGATATCGTCAGTTTGTTGTTTCCAAAATGCTCGATGTATAAAAACTTGTCTAGGTAGCTGAGGAAAGTCAAAATATGGGAATGGGGAAAGAAATGGGAATAAAACATGTCAGTAGGTTATTAAAGTCATTGACTATTTTATAACTTACGCTTCAGAGTATTTTTGATGAGAAAATGTAGGTAGTATTACTAGACGTCACTCAAAACATGTATAGCTCCAAGATAAGTCAGTGAATACATATGCACTTAGTTGGTAAGTATACTGACACAGACACGTAAAATATTCCTCTTTTTAATAGTCTAAAATTGATAATCAGTTCTAAACATTGATCTAAATAGTTTCATTATGTACTAACCATCTGCATAGATAAGTAACAATGTTTATAAAGAGTTAGCTTGAAGGAGTTTTGTGTGGTTTGATTCTTAAATTGTATCGGTTACCGATTGACCTCAGTTGGGCTACTATTGAAACTCAAGGAGTAATAAGTGCCTGTTTTGGCCTACTACGAGAATCTTGAGCAGCGTATATCAATGAGTCCTTCAGAAAAGTTGAAAATAGGATTCTCAAATTTCTCGGCAAACATTTAGCTTTTAGAAATAACGGTTCAGCATCCAAAGGTGTAATTCTCAATTCAACCAATTCGTGGTAAATGTTTGAACTATATCGGACACGACTTCTACTAGATCTTCAGAAACACGGTTAGTAAGCTGGTTATTACAATCTTATTGAAGGAACCTAAATACTCTTGGTTCAATCCTAGGAGCAGTCATGAATATTCACTATCATAGAGTCCCGTACAAGGACGAAACAAATGTTCAGTGATTGTTAATTTTCAATGATACTCTAAATCAGATCAATTACAAACAAATTAAACCCGTATTACAGTTTATTGTTATAATTACTACTAATGATAATGACATTGTTGATAAAAACTTACACGATGGAATTGTCTCATACTTGCAGTTCTATACCATTGTATACCTTTATATAAAACCAATGATATAAATCCACATATAATTAGAATGGATATAGTTATCAATATAAAAATGTAACTGTTCAGTTTGTAAATATGCTGAAACAAGAATATCAAGGATAGAAAGAAAGAAAGAAAGAATGGTGTTAGTAATTATATTGAAGAGTTTTAATTCTGTTCCCTATTCAAATTGTTATAACTATTTTTATGATTAATATTTAACAGAATACAGGATTCAATAGATAGGACCGTAGATTATAACTATTAGTGAAATTTAGGACGCTCATTTCATCCTACTTGTGATTCGTAAGCTGAATGTATATGCGTAAAAACTGACGATTCTCAAATAGGACTAAACGGAAATCCTGAATTCCTTTGATAGCCATAATTCATTTATTCTAAAATCTTAGGATACAATGACAATATCAAAACAATCCGTACATGATGAACGCATATCAAGAGTGATTGATCAAAATTCAGTTCCATAAATGATCCGTAGGATTATTCAAACATTAACTGATGATGATATAAATAGGCACGCGTTGAGCAGTATGTACAAAACAGATTTCAGCGTATGAAAACTAGATCTTATTTGGTTCAGTTTGATCAATAGAAAGTCCTGGATCTAGGTTTTGCGTTATTTTACAATTATCTAGTTAGTTTATTTGCATTATTTTTGGAAAATTTTATCTCCGTGATATTCGCTTTCATATCATTCACTGCCTCAGTCTTCAAAATTATTATCTCATGTAGGGCTGAGGTATTTACGGTGATTAATTTACATTCTCGTTATTATCTTGATGATTGTAATCATATCTAGTTAGCATGAAACTTAGATCAAAGATTCCTTCCTCTGATCAAATTCAACCAGGTGTACATAAAAAAATGGGCTGTGATCATTTTGATTTGATCAATAAAAGTCGATCAGCACTAAAGACTAGATTTTATTAACAAGTCCTGTAAGTTTGTGTTAAGTACTTTCGATTGTCCCCACCCGTGTTCTGTTCATTACAGTAGTACAGGGTATGGGAATAACTTATTTCAACTATTTCATAAGGAAACATGATAAAATTATATTAAACTGACGGGATTGAGCTCACCGATCGCAATTAAGATGGTACCTTACGGATTTTCACGCGATAAAAACAACACAATGCAACGTTGCTTGTATGCTATTGTTAATGAAGTGAAAACTGGTGATATTTAGTTTCCAAACTGTTTGAAATTGGTTTCTTTAATTACATACTACGCAACCAAACGGTGAATATGACATGGTGCTCGAGTCAAATTACATGAAATATCTACTGTTGATGTAGACTCTGTCAAAGTTTATATTCATTTATTTAAACACATAAACATTGGTACAAAGGGACACCAAAATATACATGCAACACGCAAACTTTTCGTGAGGGTTGAGATAATCCCCGGTTGCCTGAGCTAAAGCAAGTGGTTTTATTAGAAGACCACTACCCGAGCCTTTGACCCAGAGATCTGATCCAAAAAAGGTGGGGAAACGTTTTTGAGATGTGCTGTCATGGTAGCCAGTGACCAACAATAGGCTCATACACTGTTTTTTTCCTCAGGATCCAAGAGTTTATGTGCACCAGTGGTTTTCAAGAATCCTAAGTAGATGTTCAATAATCACCAACCTGGTTCAAGTTCCAGAAATTCGGTTTTTGTCCTCTTGAGTTTATAAACAACACCCCCACTGTGAGGGGACAGTGAGTAGGACATTCCTGACCGTTGTTATATATGCCTGACCGTACCATAGCATTTGTGAACCAATGTATAGTCAGTTTTGTATTCTCTCACTCTAACTCTTGACCAGAAATAATAACTCTAAGTAAATAAAAATGTGGCATGGCATCGCTGCCTTATAGTTAACATCAATTCATGATGAAAACTTCAACCTTAATTTATAATTCCAACACATAACTCTAACTTCTATTACTTAACCCAGACATTTAAGCAATTTAACTGATACCGGCTAGTGACAAGAACCTTAACTCTAACTCATAATACTAGTCCAACTCCTAATATGTAACTATAATATATTTAACATGTATTAATTCATTATTAATCATAACAATATCTTCATTCCACAGTAGTTTTCATTGCATTTTATCATTGATTGCTTTATAACTAAACAGTGTTTCTTGACTGATGACTGACTGATTGATTGATTACGGTGGATATTTTTTGCAAGCCTACATTCTTTTAATGTACATTTCATTATTTGAATAGAATGTTACTCTAGATTCTAAGTTATGTCGAAGTCAAACAGTCATGTTTGATAAATCTATTCTATGTAAATACTGATATCTTAAATTGAATATAATGTGTGTTTAGTCAATCAATTGTGGTCTGCTTGAACATACGGGCTATCTGCTCCTACCATCTAGATATTTCAACATGTTATTTAATTTTGTTTGTTTTAATACATTATTATGACTATTAATCGTATAATCTATTCAGGTACGTTTCTGAAAACTGTACAACCCTTCGTTGTACAAGTTACAAAATGCTGGCAATATGCAGCGAAAAGAATGTATATTATTAAGATGTCGATTTACTGGACTGCTCACTTCTAACTGGCGACTATTCAATATGTAATCGTCAGGATCAACCAAGAAGTAAGAAACGGAAACTTGTTGAAATACTTCGTACTGAGAATTCTATATTGTACCAAAAAATATAATATTTAATAAAGCTAATAACAATATGATATATATAGTATAGTATAGTATAGTATAGTATAGAAGAGTTCACAAAATAAAACGTTTTCGTTGTATTTAATCAAAACCAGAAGTCATTCCATTTTTCAAAACAGTTCAGTTTTTTTAACATCCAATATTCAAAATTCAACATTTCGAACTTACCACTGTACGTTTTAATGGATTGGATAAATAGTATAATTCACCATTGACAAATTTCACAGTTTCAAATTGAGCTAGGTGACCATCGATCATAAGTGTACCATTCTGTTACCAAAAAACAAGCATCACAGATATTTTTACTCAACCAATTTAACTACTTACGAGTAGTTTCATAAAATAGACAAGTTTTTAGAAATTTGGTTGGTAAACAAAATAAAAAATATTCGTAACATAGTGAATGTATTTATCTAACTGACCTATAAAGAATTGGGGTTAATAAAAACATAGTTTCATAGGAGTCATAAAAGAAAATTGTGCCAATGAGTTAACCAACTCAACTCTTTACTAATAAAGAACTAATTAACACGTTGATACGCACAACTTGGACAAAATCAGTGATATATCTTACCACGATATTTGAAGTTTATTCAATCATTCAAAGCTATCTTATAGTCTAATAGGTTAGCAAAAGCGATCCATTCTTATTAACCAGTAGCATTCGGAATACGGATTAGGCTAAAAGGTGCTTCCAAAATAGATGGATTATAATATTATTTCATTGAGTTTTACTTAACAGTGTTCTAGTGTTGATGATATATAGTTCAGTCAGTATGTGTGTGTAACACTGAGTCTGTGAAACTAAATGTCGATATTAAATAGTTTACATGAGATCATTTTGACCCAAGTTTCTTTTGATATAAATCAATTTCAGTAAATAAATAGACTGAAGTGTAATTATTTGTGATTCATATTGAATGAATTACTGGAAATCAAACAAAAACTAAACAATTTATAGAAATTTTGATAGTTGTGATCATGAGTCAGTTAGAGCTAGACCACCACAAAAAACCTGGAAGCACTAGACGACCGTTTCGTCCTACTGTGGGGCTCCTCAACAGTGCACATCCACGGTCCAGCACCGTTCGCTCCAAGCTCCATCGCATCAACCGCTGAGTTACTGGGTTCAGGTAGCCATTGGCTTGTGCAATGAGATGAACTTTATATTCATTCTCGTATTGTTTGTTTGAATCATCCGGTTGATGTTCAGGTCTGTAATTGATAAGTACAGTGTACTCACTGGATTAAATGACTTGTTCTAACTGTTCAGTGTATGTGATAATGAAATATTCAACTACCGTATAATAACTGTGAATGATTTTAATGCTCAGTAATCACCATCTATTAGAAATTTCAACCAAAAGATACAGAGAGAAATAGTTCTTTCAAAGTTATAAATAATTCTAGTTTAATAAATACTGTATAGAATACTCCAAGGATTAATTAATAGACTGGAGGCCCTGGGTTCGAACCCCGCGAGCTGCATCATGGATGCGCACTGCTGAGTCCCGCGAAAGGACTAAACTGCCGTCCAGTGCTTCCAGGTTTTCAATGATGGTCTAACATCAATCGGTTCATGATCTCAATCAAAAACTTAACAATCTTCACAACCCCGAAACTGATATTGCAATCAGTTATATATAAAATTAGTCAGTAGATTAAATGATACCTTTCAATCAATAAACCTTACTTGTGTTATATAGATAACTATTATTTGGAATATAAATCAGATTTACTTTGTATATATCAAATCTATTACGTCACTCACCATGGGATATACTTCAATCACAGTATTATTTTCAGTGATTAACTTAATCGGTGATTGAACTGTAGCATATTTAAGTTCATTTATAGTCAAGGGTTTTGATCGTACAACTATGTGCTCTTTAACATCTGTGCAACTTCGAATTATCTGTAAAATAATAAACAATAATGAAATACAAGTGTGTTATTTTCATTTGTGCTATCAAACCTATAATGCCATGCCTTGTGTTTCACTTTTTGTTCAATATATATATTACTATTTATTATTAGTCAGTAGTTTAAGTTGTATTTAGTCATTTATATTTCTCTGAATTATACCGAATGGCATCAACTTTGTTGTCATTTAGCATTTTATCTTGCTTTGTTGTTTCTCTCTTAGTTTAACCCCTTTAAGCGTGCTAACCTTTACAACTTCTTTTTCCATAACTAAGGCTTTTATCTTCTTTAAACTCATTATCTAATCGGTTAGCTGATAACTTCAGTTTCGCGAATTCTTAGTAATTCGTTCTATCATAGTTTTTAAAGCGGATTTCATGTAAAATTAAAATCAGAAGTAAGGATAAAGTACTATAAACTATAAATTCCTGTGCAATATATTTCGTGCTAGATTTAGAAAATTCAGTTGTCCTCAGCATGAACTCGATTTTAGATTGAATGGAAGATCTTCCTATTATGATGGGATAGATATAATACTAACAATCATCCAGTCAGTTTAAGTCGAGCTGACTCATGATCTTAACCATTGAAATTACTATGATATCCACAAAACCCATCTGATATTATTCAACATATGCTCACTAGTGACTGGCTTCACGAGGTATATCCTGGAGTTCTAGTAAGAAGTAGTGACCAGTGGAGTTCAACCAGGTCTGTTGTGAGATAGTAACTCACTGAAGACAATGGTGGATATGTCGCTCAATTTCGTGGATAAGTTGAAGTTAAACATTAACACCATTGGATGCCGGCTCAGTGGTCTAGTGGTTAAGTGCTCGCGCGCGAAACCAGTAGGTCCTGGGTTCGAATCTCGCAGGGGGCGAGGTCGTGGATGCTCACTGCTGAGGAGTCCCACAATAGGACTAAACGGCCGTCCAGTGCTTCCAGGTTGTCTATGGCGGTCTAGCTTCAACTGACTCATGATCTCAACCATTGAGATTACTATAATATCCACAAAACTCATCTGATATGTTTCAATATATGATAATTTGTGTTAATCACTTAATGGTTATCATGTGATATGTCACAATTAAGAAATCAATGTATTAATACAACGATATGGTTAATTAATCATTCATCTGTTATTCAGTTTGGTATCACATTCATCAATCAGTTATGTAGAAATTATAATTTCTTATTTATAGTGATGTGTGGTTAAGTAATCAACGTGTATATTCCAATAAGATTTTGAGTTTTAGCTCTTGGTTTTTTAGCCTGATTTATTCGTTTCCCGACTGGAATATTGAGGATGGAAGGTGGAGATCATGAGACCAATAGGATTTAAGATATTAATATCATAGTTATGAGCTAGGAAGAAGGTTATTTGTCTGACAGACATAAGATTTAACCGTAACTAATGCACTGTATATCTCATGATTCAGTTAATTGAACGTGTGTAAGGATGAGAATCACAATTGATGTGAATAATAAATATTAATAATGATAATAATAACAAGAATAGTATCAATGAACATTACTTACATTGGATGGGACAAATATGTAAAAGTATTTTGGTGGATTCAATGTTCTCAAAGCTAATTGTGTTTCTGATGAGAGACAATGATCATGATCTACAATAAATTGAGGTAAATCTTTTTCTTGTTCCAATGTTTTATATACATCCAAGTGACAACGTGTACCAGATAGTATTGTCCCTTCAATACAAACACATTCAGTGATACCTAAAATGAATATTGTAATGTTAGAATTTTGTGGCGTAGGAATGCATAAATAAATAATTATATACACTTATTGATCAAACATCTTTTTAAGATATGAAACTTAAGTATTTATCTATTATCTGCTGAATTACTTTTAACCATTTATAGATTGCAAGTTAATTAATTAAAGTCTGTTACTGAGCTTTGAGTGTTGGTAGGCGGCCTATGCTCCTCCACGAGGAATAACAGGCGTAAGTAAGTAAGTGAATGAGCTTTGATACGGATTTTCATACTAAAAACAGGTAAATACAACGTTGTATTCCTGAATATCACCCTAATGAGACAGTTAAAGATAGTCTTGTTCTAATCTTTAATTCTAGTAGATATTTTGAATGGTACAATACGATGTGGTTATTGACTCAAATGATAACATCATGTGCCGATGTTGTTCAAGTTAGATATTTGGAAAGTTGGAAGAAATAAGCTGACAAGAAATCTTATCACACAGAATAAAACACAATCTGTATGATATGTGGAACCTATTCAAGGTATTCGAATTTGATATCTTATCAAGAAGAATTAGTTAGGTGCATAAACCACTAGGTGACAAGTTAGATGTTGTTAAGTTTGTCTTACATTGTTCCTACTCGTTCCCTTTCTACTCTTTTGTATATTGTCTTATACTACTTATTTACATTTAGTAAGCAGTTGTATTCCCAACAATTTTCACACTTATGTTGTAACTCAAGTTGTACTGTAATATTCTGAAATGTTCACATATACTTATAACGTTTATTGTACTTATCATTGTATTTATCATTATAATTACTGTATCTTAATCGCTGTAGCCGTTATCCACAGTTTTGTGCATTTGTTTAAACGCAATGGTTTCCATATTGTTTGCTCTAGGTTCGGGTTTCGGTTGTTCGTAAACTGTTATCAAATTTAGACACAGCTATCAGCTGTCCTTTGTACTATCGTATGTTATAATTATTCTTTATGTTACTGTTACAGGAAGCCTTTTTATTTTCATACTTGAAGGACGCGTTTAAACGCCCCAGACACCTAACAAGTTGAAGTTTGTAACTAAATTTTTTTTATTATTCAATAAAGAACCGCTATTGTAGACAAATCGTTGTTTTGGAAACTTCGGTTTTGCGCGTATCTCAATCGGGTGACTTGGACGCTTCGATAGACTTAACAGATGTTATAGCAAGAAGAATTAAAGAGAGATTAAAAATCATGTAATCTACTTTTTTCAGGACATTGTTATTAACAGTTTGGTCATTTGCTTCCATGATTTTGTTTGGTCAATAGACTATTTTCATATATTTTTCCGTCGACAAGTTACGTAATTTTAATAACGAATTCATTACTCTGACGACTGTTATTTTAAATGCCCAACTTTTGGCAATATATTGTATGTAAAGATGGGTAGTGGTTAGTAGTGGAATCCAGGGCGTGCGTTTTGTCCTACCTGTGACTCGCCAACTGGATGCACCTTAATGTACCACTGCTAGCTACCATCCAACTTTATTTATAATGATTGTGACTTAAGACAATATCGAGGCAGTTTACACAGGATACACATATGCCAATATGACACTGATCAATTGTAGTTCTAAACATCAATAAGAAGATTCACGAAAAAATGCAAAGTGAATTTAACATATTGTAAGTTTTAAATTATTGTGCTTCATAGTTTGTCTGTCTATGTATCTGATCATGCAGCTTTTGGAATATGCCATGTCTTTGGTTTTCCAGGTTTGTCGTACTATCTTCTTCTTATCTCTTTGTCATTGGTTCGTGCAGAAACAGATGTCTGAGAAATCAATCGGTGCTTTAATATCAGATTATTTAGTCATCTATTAGGAGAGTCAGACCACAAGATCAAATCATTTATAATTGGGTTCAGGAGTACTGTCACAAGTTTATATTAGACGGCCCATTGTATCAAGGATGCCAACAAGTTACGAGTCAATTTCTCTTGAACATGTAAAACCAGGATTAGTAAGCATCTCAAATCATCACACAAGATAATGTTTTGTATGTGCTAGGATCCAAAGGGCTTAGAGGTCAACATTCAGACTGAAATATTGAATCTGTTCAGGACAGTGGTATTTTTAATCAAGTTTACTGGAGTCACTTATTGACAGGTGTAAATAACTGTTAGATTTAGCTGGTCTCTCCAAGTTTGTTTCATTTTAATCTTAACAGGAGAACATCACTATCATACAAACTCGTTTAACACTAAGAAACCTATTACTTAAGGTTGATTAAATCACGTGAACTTAGATACCTAAAGTCGTACTGTTTAGTCAAGAACTAAATAGCAATAATATCATTCATTGACATGCTATTATTATTGATACACATATCAAGTGGGAACCGGTGGAGAAGTAGTGTAAGATGTAAAATAGTCTGTTGTATATGTAATACACACTTACTAGCCAGTTATGGCTTGCTTTAGTCGGATAAATCAGTTAAAAAGTAACAGTGTAATCTACAATATCACATATTTACCTCTAAATTTTATACAGTTTTACTAACAATGAAAAAAACGAACTAAAAACATGCTAAAATGCAACTATATTAATTTACCTCTTGGGATATTATGTATACATCTACTGAATGGTTGACATTCTCGTGCAACGCAATCTGATTTGCATGAGAAACCGTCACCAACAAATCCTGGACGACAAATACACATATGACTGAGTGACTAGACAAGGAAAAATAAAACAAGGTGATCAAAAACAATATTGAACTGAATAGTTTTAATGTAAGTATTAACTACAGAGTTATTTTCAGGGAATGAGTTGCACTTAGCTACGTTATTTGGAATCTGATTAAAACGGTATTATTATTCATGCTTGATACTTGAACACTTGATAACGACTTTCTAACCGTTTCACAATCTCTCAAAAAACTACAGTTGTGTTCCAGTCAGTGGTATCTTTAAAGAGAAACGTTTTTTTCTTGGTTAATTTTGAGATAGTAAACATGGACGTTTATAGGTTCCTATTTCACTTCAACATTTTAGAAGCTTCTGGAAACATATTAAAATCAGTAACAAGGTAGCTAGTTATCCAATAAAGTGATATGTAATTCATTGTTTTTCTCAAGCTCTTAATTGTATTGACTATAACTTGAAAACTTAGAGAAAAAAATTTCTTGTACACTCTCTCAAATGACATGTTTTAGATATGCCTAAGGATTAATCGATGTGGATGTTCACTATTTTGACATATAACATTGTCTAATTCACCTGTTTTAGTCACTTTAGTACAAAAATTATACATACAGACGTTAGAAGGTGGTCGTACACTACTAGATTCCGGCTAAATGGTCTAGAGGTTAGGAGCTCGATTGTGAGACCTGAAGATTCAAGATTTGATTGCCGATAGGGTTTCGGATGCACTCTGCCGAGGTGGTTCATACTAGGACCAAATAGATGTTCAGTGCTTCCTGGTTTTCAGTGGTTGTCTAACTACGTGATGTAATCTATGAAAATCTAACAATCACCACAGTTTTAATATCCTAAAATAATGATGATAACATTACCTGCTTTTTCTTTAAACTAACACCCAAATGTTCAGCGCATACAGCTGACGGGTCACATAAGTCAGCACATTCATCCGTTAGCGGAGTTATTGGTGCGCATACGTAACGTCCATCACCGAAATAACCTGGTTTACAAATACATTCTGCTTGTTTATTTAGTAAACAAAATGCATTCGGTGCACAACCACATAGTCCTGTTCACAATTGAATAACACACACATAAATTGACGAAAAAATGAAAAAACGAATCAGTGTATGTAGAATGGCATATACAATACAATAACTGAAATGAAATATGCAAAATACAACAATCTATATATTTTTAAGGATTACATTAACTAGTGTGAATAAAGTGATGATGTACCCTCATGTAACTCATGGAGTTGTACCTCATGGATAGGACATGTTTTCAGAAAGGGGGGGGTGATAATCTGATGAGTATGGATACATTATGTGCCTATCCTCATATTTATTCTGAAGCTCAGGCGGTAAGCGAGATATCACGAGCTGGGCAATCTATTGGAAGCCGATAATGCACCTAATCAAAGTTACCCTACCAGCCAAATCGTATGTATACCAATAATTGGTGCAAATAATAAGTTAGTCTGCCAATTAAACTTTTATGCTCATTTCAGTTTTCTGAGTTGCATAGTGAGTTTGTTATACTCTAGGTAATATATTTTGTAAATGAATCTTACAGCAGAAGACAATAGTTTACTTTCTATCGAAATATTTATTATTGTTGTAAGTTATGTAGAGCTGTTAACTATCAATATCCATAAACTACCTAAGTAATAAATAAACCCAGTAGCTAGGTGGATAACGCGATGGTATTTGAAACGAACAGTACTGAGTTCGATCCCCAGAGTGAACATCAACTCAGGTGCAGGTACATTCAGCCGAAGAGTCCCAAATATGACGAAACGCACGTCCTGAATTCCACTGCTAGTCACTATCCATCTTTACATACAAATTTAATACTTGATTTCATGAGTCAATTAAAGCTAGACCACCATGGGAAACCTGGATCTGGCGTGCAGGATCGTGGATGCTCACTGGTGACGAGTCCCACACTAGGACGAAATGGAGTTCAAGTTTCTTATTTACGTTTACATAAACATAATATCTCACTGTTAGATCTACACTATAATGTAACTAATCGTAAAGTTTTTCTAGTTCGCTTTCAATTTTCATTTGTAATAACATAAAGCTTAACTTTCTGTTGAATAGCTATACTTCAAGTTAGATAAAATAACAGTTCGATGTTTTCTGGTTTCATCGTAACATTTCAATAATGCAATGCGAAGACGAAGGATATCAAAATTCTGTGATATATTTGCACAATACACTACATCATAACAGTTGTCCAATCGCAACTAGTCCTTAATGTGAAATTTCAAGGTTAACATTTTATAATAGGTTGATTCAGCCAATCAAGTTATGAAGATTTTCCCATCATCTTATTGGTTGAATTTAATAGTCTAATGAACCAATCCACGCATAGTCCGTATTCTACCCTATTTATGACTGAAGTAAATCAAATCAAAACTGACACAATATTACTACTTACTTGCTATTTCATCAATATCTTTTTCAGAAATATTTTGACTTATAGAATAACGTGTACCAAGTATTGATGTAGTATAATCAATTCCTTTGGCTGGATGATAATAGCATAAATAGAGGAGACCTTCACGTTGAGCAAGTGTTTCACGATATAATAGCATATCTTTTTCACTTAATACAGTTGATTTACGATTATTAATCATAGTATTACTATTACTATGTAATGGTGATGTAAGGTAGGTGGTAATTTTCTCTCTATCCAATACAGTTCCCGGTACACTAGAACATAAACCGGAACTACTAGCTAAATAAAAACCATCTTTTGATGGTGGTACACGTAACAGTAGAGTTTTATCTTCACGACAACATTGCATAAAATAAACAACATGATTTTCAATATCTTCATGCCAATGACTGTTAGGAATTATTTCACCATCTGGTGATATGGAATGTATACTTTTTAGAATGAAACGTGGGATTTTCAATGGAAATTCTCTGGAAGCTTCTAGGAGATAAATCAAATACAAGATCAAATGTTTATTTATTATAGATATTTAAAAGAAGAAATGGTCTAAAAATGAAAATAAAAGTATTCACATTTGTTTAAATGTATTTAAGGTTATCCCCGACAACTTCTTGGTGTCGTATATGTGTTGTATGGAGAATTTTCGGCCATTTTTTCTTTCGTTTATTTACTGAGTAAGTACTACTTACTGAAGTTGAATTTTCATTAAGACCTTCATTTTAAGAATCTGGAGTTATTTGAAACATCTCAATATAGGATGATAGTTCAATAGTGTTATATCCCAGAGTAGATTAAATCACGAGTAACTTCTGAGAAATATTAATCGACTAACATTATCTATACCTTCTCATGGTATAGATATTCAATAATTAGATTATGTATATTTATATTCCTCTTATTATAAGCTTCGTTTTGACCTATAACTTATTATTGTATGATTTAAGGTTCTTAAGCTATGTTCAGTTTATTGACTACTGCCTCCCACGTTCACAGTCACTTTTTGCCTTTATTGTGTACAAATGTTATTTCCTCTTTTATGGTGCGTTGCGGTCTGTTTGATTGATATATAAACTCAGTATGTCTGAAACAAAAGATTCAGTTCGATTCGATTCGCATATTGGAAGTTGGTATTGTGTTCTGGACTCAAGTGGACGGGTTAGGCAAACATAAGACCAAATAAGACACTAGGCTGCTCATACCGGTCGAACATCGTTGGTTTTCGCACAGTGCTTAGATTGTATAAGCCGTATTTTGATTGGTGGATAAATCACGTGATAACTAGCCTGACATAAAGTCACAACAAATAGATCGGATGACGAATACAAATATACTGAAAGTTAGTACTTGAAATGAATTCTTAGATGAAAACTACACTTCAATATGTAGTACTTATTCGCGAGATAAACGGAAGAATGATCAAAATTGATGAATACAAAACACTTATAGAACATTAAAAATGATGAGAAAAATGTCAACCCTTAAAGCTATCAGTAAGATGAAATATTTGAGACTATAGCCTGTTTGTTGCTTTTTATTGGGTTTTCACTTTTTCGATGTCCTTCACCATAAAACCCGAAATTTATATATTATTATCAGTATAAAGGTTTGAGAAGATTATTAAATGTTATTGAGACAGTTACTCACCGAAGAAAGTAGATGAGAGCTTAGTATTGTGATACCATTGCTAAACAATTCACTTTATTCTTAAACTTAACAGAATAAATTTTGAATGATTAAAAAACAGATAGCTTTGCATTGTACTTTGATGGTGTAATATTTCAGTGTATTATGATAAACAAATTAACTTATGATATTCAGATTTGCGATTATGCACGTTGGTGATTAGTTTTGAGAGGAAATTTCTAGAGTTCTAGTGAGAGGCCATGACTTGCAGAGTTCGGCTTTATCGTGTGTGAAGAAGATGGACACTGAAGACAATGGAAGATGGTCACTCAATATAACAGATTAATGGATGTAATACTTATATACCAATGGATCCCGGTCTAGTGATCTAAAGATTAAGTGTTTATGCATGAGACCTGAAAATCCTGTGTTCTATCTTCGGTAGGGTCGTGAGTGCTTAACCTTAAGGAGTCTCATACTGGGCCGAAACAGCTGTCCAGTGCCTTCTGGTTCTTGACGGCTTATTTTATTAACTTATACCAGTTAGCGATTTTGATAAATTTTGATTCCCTGGCAAGAGATTATCGTGTTTTACCATCTTATTATTATCCCACTGGATGGATATGTACAGATATTGAATTATATAAAAACTGACCTATCATGTATATAGTACGATTTTAACTGATGATCTGTACAATTAATTTTTTTCTGGTTAGCGTTTTTTTAGCGAGGTAGTTTTTTACGAGATGGGGTTGCTAACCCCATGTCCAACCTTCCTCTTTTATCCGGGCTTGGGACCGACAGTAGCCCCCGGAGGGACTCCAGGTGGAGTTCTATACAATTAATGTCATATATAACTTCAACAATCACATAAGTTTGCTTATGATTCCTTGAAAAACCAAGTTCTAACATATTTTTTAAAAAAAGTTCGTTAACTATTTAGGTTAAATTTATAGCTTAGCTGATTATAAACAGGATCGTCAGTTTGTAGACAGCAAAATTCAAACAGGATTTGGCTTAAGTGATCTCTAAAAGTCAAATAAATCTTATTTTTAAATTGAACAGTGACAGTGAAAATTTTTTAGGGAGAAAACGGACGTAAATTACTTATCACATACTCATTCCAATCGGGCAATGTGTGTTCATGGTAAATATACAGTAATCGCCAGCAGGCCATGTTGAAAATTTACTTGTAGTACCACTACTACTATTCTGTTCATTAGTATGTACACAAAATTCCATGGTCACGTAGGCGGTTATGTTGAATATAGTCTCTGTATTGGTATTCGGATTGCTCATTAATTGTTGTTCAGTTTCGCTGCTTGCAAATATAAAACGTTTACGTTCAAATGTTTCTGGACATTGATATTTACTGCCACTGATAAAATTTTTACCATCTTGAACATTTGTAGATGATGCTGTTGTATTATTCTGTTCATTATCTGCAGCAATTGTCGTCACATATGATGTACGCAAGCCACTACGTCTTCCTATAGGAAGCATATATTCACCAGATGGCCATTCTATAGTGTCATTCATCCATGATATCGGTAAATAATGGCATAGAACATCCCACTGAGGTTCATGCTTACCTTCTGAACCAGAAACCAGTCGTACAAGATAACGTTCCACCTGAGAGTATTTTATTATTAAAAATACATATTAACAAAAAATACAAGTGAATTCAGTGAATTATTAAAAAGTGTACATTATACAACTTCATTTACTGGTTATTTTCAGTATGAAGGTGTGTGGAGATTGTTGGATTTCATTGAAATCATGGACCAATCTAAGTTAGAACACCATTGGAAATATGGAAGGACTGAAAGGCCATTTTGTCCTAGTATGGGAATCCTTAACAGTGTGCATTCACGATCCCACACGCGGTGACCAGTGGAGTTAATCCGTGTCGGGTAGGAAGCAGTTACCCAACAAAGACAATGGAGGATGGATGAGCAAAATCATGGATTGAATAAAGTTAGGCGTTAACACCACCAGATGTCAGCTCAGTCATCTAGAGACTAAGCGTTTACACAGGAGATCGAAGGATTTGGTTTAGATCCTGGTTTGCAGCGGGTCGTTATGAGCACTGCTGAGTAGTCCCATACTAGGACGTAAATGGCAGTCCAGTGCTTCCGAGTTTTAGATGGTGGTCTAACTTAGATCTATTATTCGTTTCAAAAAGCTTTTTCATCGAATTTTCCTTATTGCATTGAGGAAACGGTACGTTCGAATTTAAATAAGTTGTCAATTATAATTAAAATGCTGTTTTGGTTACTTGGAGAAATTCATGTTTCATTCGTTACTGTTTACTAAAATAAAGTGAAATCCACTAAATCCTAACTTAATGATCTGAAGGTTAAACACTCTCCTCAAAGCTTCAAGGTTTTGACCTTAACATTTTGTGCGGATATGGTAATTTCCATACTAGCAAGAAACAAATGTCCAGCGGTTCTTGATTACGACAACTGTCTAGCTTAAGTCAGTTTGTGATATGAAACTTCAAAATGGACTATCGTTGAATTGATTAGGTTATGGGTAATTCATTTTGCATTAAGATTTATAAACTGTACAGATTGTTTTGCAACTGATAATCGAATTTCATTTGACATTAATAAACCTTTTGTCTGGGTAGCTATGTTTCTGCATGAATTTTTATGTGGTTCAGCCTTGCAAAACAAACTAGTAACATATTTTTCAGTAATAAAATATGCTATTCATGTCCAATGTTCGTTAGAAATATTGAATATCGATAAAACTATTTATAAGAATTGGTTACATGTGTTATTCAGCAACCCCTTTACGAAGCTGTATGTTCAGGAAGGGTTTTGTGGAGATTATAGTAATTTAATAGTTGAATTCATGAGTTGTGAGTTGGGTGATGCTAGACACTAACACCGTTAGATGCCGGCTCAGCGGTCTAGAGGTTAAACGTTCGCATGCGATATCGAAGGTCCTGGGTTCTAGTCCCGCGTGCGGGATCGTGGATGCGCACCGCTGATGAGTCCCATTCTAGGGTGGAACGGCAGTTCAGTGCTTCCAGGTTTTCCAAAGAAGCTGTATGTACTTAAAAAACTCAGGGTCTATTTAGCTGTCAATAATCTGTATAATTTGAAAATGCTATTCACTGTAAAGTTTTCTATGTTCGTTTATTGACTTCAATGGAATTAAATGATTTATGTGTGTAAACATATATTTCCGATGTGAATACCTTGATTGTAAACTTATTGTGGTGTTTGTATTAAATAATAAGTTTTTCATACATAACTTCTTGGTTTATTCATATTTCAATAGATTACGATCATATACACAATATTGTGAATTGATTAAAGTTAGAAATGTAAACAATTGGATACCAGGTTAGTGGTTTGGAGGTTAGGAGATCATCTTGAAATCTGAAGGTCCTAGACTCAACTCCGCCTTGGTAAGAATACTAGAGAGCACCACTAAGGGAGTTTCATACAGTGACGAAACATCTGTACAGTGATTTCCGATTTCCAATGGTTGTCTTACCAAGATTAGTTTGTGAAATGAACTATGAAAGTCAACAGTCTCTAAAACCCTATCACATCAATAATTTCTATTCTGTTAATGTGACATAAGGCTGGATTTGTCCATTAGGTAATTCATTAGACCAGCCGTAAATCACTGTTTTAGTTTCGTAAAAACCATGTAGATAGCAATGAGATTTGTAAACATTTATTCACTTGTCTTAATTCAGCTATATATAATCATGTGGTTTTATTGTGTTTTTTCAATCTTGTTCTGTGTTACTTTGATTATTTATCAGCAATTTTCGGTCATTTCGATTCATTCTGAATCAAATATGTGGTTCATAACGACAAACATCTTATTTGTCTGTCGGTAATTAACTGCCCCAGTTATATCTATATATGCAGCACCTTGACATTAGACTTTTTTTGAAAGCAATTATGTTGTGCCCGACGGCTTGATACAGCCGTGATATGCACTTCCTATGGTATACTAAACTCACTATAGAAAGGAGAAGATTGAGAAATAACTGAGAATCATACCAAATTATAATGTACTTTAACTATAAGTATACATACAATCATCCTTCCAACCCAGAAAAGGACATGTAGGCTAAGATCTAGAGTATAAACCATATTGATCCCTCTAAAAGCGTATTTCATTTATAATTGTTCACTTATCATTTGACACTGAGACATAATGGGAGGACAGATCATACTCATCCAGCCTATCACTTAACCATCCTTAAGATTTATCTTTAACGTCAGTTGAAGTAACAATGATCAATTGAATTATTTACAAGAATTCGATTGTAATAAATATTGGCTCGTTACACTGAGAATACTTACATGAGTATCTTTTATTGGTAAACATTTTTCACCACCAAATAAGAAGAAATCTTCGATAAATGGCCAGTTGACGGGTTTAGGGTCTTTAATATTATCAGTTCGACAACAAAGTTCAGAGAATGCTCGGGCATGTCTATGAAGACCTGGAAATATATATACATATATGTTATAAATGTATGTCCTTTGAGAATGCTGTACAATCGTATTTATGGATTAATACGTCTGTTAAAAATAGTAGTCTATAGTAAAACGTTTGCACTGTACAAAGAAAGCTCTCTTGAAGCATACCTTCAAACGTTACCCTGCCTGGCTGTTTAAAATACTACAAAAGTCAACCAAAAGCTCAATCTTGAAACATCTAATTAATTCTGGTTACTACTCTACCAAAATTCTCATTCAAAATCATCCATACAATCAGAGGAATCGGTTCAGAAAGAGTATAAATGAAAAACTGATATACAATAGAGGCAGTAACTATCCACTAATTAAGGTCTAACCTTTGCATATAAAAACAGTATGTTCAATCTCTCATTCTAACACAGTCTTGTCCATCCTTTCTATCTTCGATCGACTATTGCAATTTTTTAAACTCCTATCAAATAATTTTTCACAAATATTAGTTAGCTATTATTATGATTTTTAAGTATTCTTAGTATGAGGGAATTTGTAGAGATTGTAGAATGTTCACAATTTAAATCACAAACTGATCTTAGCTAGAGCACCACCGAAAACCTGAAAGGACTGGACGGTTATTTCGCCTTCTCAGTGGTCTAAAGGTTTGCGTTTGCGAGCGAGATTGAAGATCGTGGGTTTTATTCCTGGATGCAGGATCGTGGATTCTGTGGAATCTCATACTAGGACGAAACGGCCATACGGTGCTTGAATAAATGAAATTGTCGAAATAAAACGCTTTTTCACTGAATGACCTTTGTTTTTCCTTAATGACGCAATGAGTCTGCTTCGTTATTTGTTGTTTATTGAATATTTGAATGTTCAATTAGATGTTATCGTGACGAGATTATAATTTATTGACGAGCCAATCAAAAGCGAGTGAGCGATTTCATGGTCACGGAGCCTATTTAAAATATTTAATGCCCTCGCACGATTGGTTTATAGCAGATTTCAAGGAGGACGTTATAGTTGAGTGGCTACAACCGATGGGATTATTGAGAAGTTCCTTTATTTGTGATTGAAAGGTTCAACTGGCTACTGGACAGTGTGAAGACTATCGTGACGATGTTGCATTTCGGTGCAATATATGTTAGAGGGGAAAGTCTGCTAGAACAGGAACTTTTTTCGGTTGATCCCTATTGAAACTAAAACAGATTATGACAAGTGTTGTAAAATGAATAATAAAAGCACCAGCAACCATGACTGCAACCTTTGTAGATGTTACTGAAGCTTTGGCAGTTCAATGGTATAAGTACTGTCAAGATACATGTGCAATTATAATGACAATCTGCATGATTCTCCCGACTGACAATTCCTTTCCAATTCCATCTCCGTTTTCTTCAAACCGACCTTCACAACCTCCTGCTGCTAGGTTTTCCATTTCCAATTGGTGTTACATTGTGCTTATGTCTGTCGACAAGGGTAGCATACACCACAGGGAAAATCGTAGAAATGGACGAAAAAGTCGTTAAAAAACACAGACTCAATAGAGTAAGAAGTAATAAGGAAGACTGGGGAGGTAGCACTTCCTTAAGTATGCTTAGCCGATCTTTGATATATATGATAGATCATCTCAAAAGAGACACTTCCAGAGAGTGAGAAATTGACAGGCTAAAGCGATGATGCCAATTATAGAAGAGTATATGTATCCGGTTACCAAAATATACACGGATGACTGGAGAGAATATCGATGTCTATGTAGACTTGTATATATGCATCGTATCATCGTTCACAAGCGACATTTCGTAGACCACAACGCGGGAGTACACACCAATACTATAGAAGCAATGTGGTCGACGCTAAACAAATTTTTACCATCTTATCATTGCTCCAGAGATGCACTATTATGAAGTCACGTGGATGAGTTCTTATACCGTATGCATTACGATTTCAGAACTGCAGATTTTCTTCCTAACCTTGAAAAGTTTCTAAATCATTTCAAAGAAGTGTATTCATTGTATTTTTTTTTGGTTTTGTATAGCATACTCTCACTCCATACCAACTGTTTTCTGATTGACTGAAATTTCTTAAGGTCATTCAAGTTCCATCCAAAGGTCATCTATAAATTATAGTCACGTCTGTTGAATTGTTTTTCCCCTTGGACTACTGTTTATTTTATGTGATTATCAATTTTCGCTAGTTTATTTTGAATTATCTTGGATATATTATGTGTTCGAAAAGAAAATTTATATCAGTAAATATCAGTAGTTGAAAGCTTTATTTATTTATTTAAACACAAAAATATTGGTACGAAGAAGCACCGAATACATATGCGCGACACAAGTCACTTGATTCGTGTGTGGGCTGTGATACTGTCGGGGTGCCCAGACCAAAACAGGTGGTTTTCTTAGGAGGCCACAGCCGGAGCCTTTGACTTAAAGGTCTGATTCATAAGGCAATGGAGCAACGTTAGGAGATGCAGTCCCATGGTAGCCGATGACCAACAATAGGTTCATACGACATTTTTTCCTTCAGGATACTGGAGCTCATGTATACCATTGGTTTGAACTCAGAGTTTTCCAACTTTCCTAGGTGGACTCTCCTTGTCGACCGACCCGGTTGAAATGCCGGACATTCGCTTTTCGTCCTCTCGATTTCGTAAACAACACCCTCGCCTCGGGAAGGGAGTGAGTAGAACTTCCCTGGAAGTGGTTGTATATGCATGGACATGTGAGAACATTTGGAGAGAGAGAGAGCTGACTCTCCTCACCCTCAGCCATACTAGGGCATTTGGCGGTCAACTGAAAGCTAATTATTTATATTTACAATTATACTATCAAATTTTATGGGTATTGAAAGACACATGAGGGCTTTAGTGGTTTTACTGAAATAAATATAATTATTTACTACATTCTGAGATTCTGATATATCACTTCACTGGGTGTAAATGAATTCTAACACGTTCAACACTGTGATCTTAGTATCCATAACTTAATGTACTCAAAATAATAATAAAATTTGTTAGTTGATAAAAGACATAAATTATCCAATGTATTTCAAACATCTTAAGTTTTTGGGATAATTTTGAAAATAAAGTTCGGAACTATTGAGATGGTTGAGAAGATTTGTAGCTCAGGTGGATGATTTTGGTGGAGTTTTGTTCTCTGAGCTGAATGGTTTGGTCGTGGAGCTTTCATCGTTCTTCTGAACGAGATCATCAGCACAAACTTCAGATAGAAGTCCGAAACTATTACAATAGAATGAATTTAAATTAAAAAAAAGTTTGGTTCAGCGAAGAGTTCTCTTTTTCAAAGTTGTACAATCGAACACATTGCTGAAACAATAGCCACATATCTAGGAAAACCAGAATTGTGTGTCCTAAAGAGATTGGCACAACCTATTATTCTACCATGGTCTTAATATCTTTTCTCATCATATTCGTTTTCCTTTACAGCCATCTACTTTCCCTTCCATTTTCTCCTTGAATCTTCTACTCTCAATTGGTTTAATTCTGTTTCTATGATCTTCTCGATTACATTTTATCTCACTTTCAACATTCTACCTTATCATGATAAGCCATCCTTTCCCAATGATAATTTGCCTATCTGTCTTTATGATAAATATTTAAGCACTTAACAATCATTCACTTGGTGTTGCTTACTTATATCTTCCCATTGTTATTTAGGACTGGTATATGTGCATCTTGTGCGGACTTCCTCGATATTGCCATAGGTCACAAGCTTTATAAGCAAAGATGGATAGTGGTTAGCAGTGGAATTCTGGACGCGCGTTTCGTCCTACTTGAGATTCGTCAGCTGGGTATACCTGCATCTCAGATTTGGTATTCAATCTGGTACTCTAACCCAGTACAATTCGCTTCAAACACCATCGCGTTATCTACTTAGCTACTGAGTCCTGATAGCCACCTACGTGTGCCATTATTATCATTACTAATATAAGTTTCTCTGGTTAAAATATTTCTTATACCTTTGTTTATTCTACTTCACTGTTACCATATTTAACAGAAGTTTATTATCATTATTACTATAATTATTATCATGAAAAAGTAGATATATATTTGCGATTGTACGGCTTTGAAAATGAATTCGCCGAAAAGAGAACTCTTCACTGAATCAATCTTTCTTACTTAATATCTCAATGGATGTATTTCGTTTACTGAAGAATGGATTTAGTCTGTTTCACTGTTGCTGCCTAATTACAATCATACTAAAATCATAAAAGTGTGTAATAGGTTAATATGTATGTATCCATGTATGCGATATTTTTCTTCAACAGAAAACCAAGTTTTAAAAATTCATAAAGTGTAAGATGCTTCTGAGATCTACTTCATGAATGTTTGTGTTTACGATATAATTCTGTGGAAGTTCTCTCTTTCTTCTCACCTAACAATTTTGTACCAGTTGAATTATTATTACATAATTTATCAGGACAATCCACATCTATTTAGATCATAGTTAAGACACTCTTATAGTAGTGAACCGAGGATTTAGTGTTACTTACTTATTCAGTTACTTACTTACGCCTGTTACTTCTCGTGAAGGAGCATAGTTCGTGGGATTTAGTGGGGTGAACCAGTTTGTTCTGTAATGCACATTACATAGTGCCTCTAACAAAATATGCATACCATACATTAAACACATCATTTGCACATGTTTCTTCAGATGTCCTTTTCATACCTCATTATTCTTTTAATTATGATATTATTTTGATTACCCGCCATTTTCCTTTCCGTTTTCTTTATTCCACTTTGTATTCCTACTACATACTACTTATATCTGTCTGCATAAGTCACGCACACCATACTATTACATTAGAAGTATGATATCATTGAATCTGTTTACCATAGTTTAGTGATCAATACTTTGGTTTTATCAACCTACTAATCATGATTAATCACTTTTGTATGTTACGGGTGGTATATATTGTTCTTCATTTTACATACTTATCTTCTTATCTAAGGCTTTTCATCAGTTAACTTTAAGTATTCGATAGAGATGAATCACGACTGAAGTAATTTATGATCGGTCTAAACTTAGCTAATCAATATACTGTTATAAGTTCATTAAAACATTTTATGAATGTAATATGCTAATTGAAGTCTTACTATTAGAATAGTTCCTTCAGAAAAACCAGCTTCATAAGAATTTCTTTTTGATACATATATATGAGATACTACAAAACGCATTAAAAAAAAATAGAACAAACTAAACATTCTGAACGAAAAACACCAATCTGTCTAACACAGTTGACTAACCTGGTGGACATTGATGATTTTCAGCTGTAGATATTACACAGTAATCACCTTTAGGCCATTGAAACTCAGGAAGTTTTTTATCATCTCCTAATAATCCCGTTATTATTGATGATGGAGATGAGGAGGAAGAAGAAGAAGAAGAAGTAGTAGTGACTGTTTCCTCTTCATTATTTGCTTCAATTATAACTTCTCCTGTTTCATTAACTAATTCATCATTTATATTTGGATTATTTCTTTCACAATAATGTACATTTAATGCACTATAATTATGTCCCATTAATTCTAAAAAATATGGTCCTAAACTCATTGGCATTAATTCTAATTCAAAAAATGCTGCTTGATTATTAATTAATGAATAATAATGTTGTGTAAATCCTGGTGGACATGCTTTATCTAAATCATTTCTATGTACATTCGGTAATGCATATTGACCTAATGGCCATTCAGTTTGAAAATAATAACCTATATAGTAAATATTTTAAGAAAAATGTATAAAGAAATATTGTCTTAATAATAATAATAGGATAATCAAAATAATTAAGGCCAAGGTAACGATAACGATAAGACGTACTTCTTTTGTACGCATAGCTCCTGAATGGTAAGAGCTTTGGCTATTTTTAAGAATTGGATCTATTCGCTTTCAACTCGGATACGGGAACATATCCTAGCTTGGTTCTATAAGGGTGAAAGGAAAGCAGTTAGGAGTTCTATACTTGAATATCTAATCGACTGTAACTATTCTACAGATCCACAATCTGATTTTAAGGTTGTTTATATGATTCGTTCAAATATACCCAGATTTCTTCGTATCCAACTCTTAAAAATAGCCGAAGCTCTTACCATCCAGGAGCTTAAACCAGAAATATTGTATTGTTCATTGAACATATCAAAGGTATTTATATATACATATATACATGTCGGGTGTATGAAGATTGTCGGTAAGGAATCTTACTTCATTGAAGTTTTGTGCTATTTTGTACTGGTTAACAAGATATATTTAAAGTGTTAAGAGAACTGGTGCTTCGTATAAGATTCGAATCCAGGTCATTTATCTTTAATCTCTGGTATTATCATTGAATTTTTCAAGATGCGATTAACCTTCTGTAGTATCGATCTATTTACAAGTGATGTTTCACTAATTAGTACTGACTAACGTTAAGTCGGTATAGTAGTGTTTTAAAATAGAAGACTTTGATCTTTTATTATATCCCGACGAGAATTATGAATGATAACTGTTGAGAACTATTTATGGATCAATACAATACATATATTTTTATTGTATAACTGTTAAGTAGCTAAGCAATGCATTTTCGTGTTACTCTTATGATAAGCTTTATTTTGGTCTATGAACTATTATTATACGACTTACCATTCTTGAGTTATACCCAGTCTATCAATTACTACCTCCCACATTCACAGCCACATTTGGCTAAATATTGTGATTAGATGGTAGTTGGAGGTAGTCAACAGGAAACCCTGGACCCGGGTTTCATACTACTTGGCACTCGTCAGCAAGGTGTACCTGGAATCTTGAGGGAACTGGTGCTACCTGGTGGATTCGATCTCGTATCACCCAGCTTCACAGTCAGAGAAGTTACCACTGAGCTATCCGGGCCACGACTGACCTCCTGTAGGACTGAGATGTAATCACAATTGATTGATCACTGGGTGGCAATCAATGTCATGCGTGTCTAATCCTTATTAGTGCAGATCGAATGCTATCGATCATTGTACAAATGTGGTTTCCTATTTTATGGTATGATGTGGTCTGTCTGGTTAGTATAAAAACCCAGTATGTTTGAAATAAATGATTCATATCACAGAGGCTGAGCTTGGTGTTCTGGACTTAACAGGCAGGGCTAGCAGGTAAGCAAGACCGATAAGGACTCCAGGCTGCTAGTACTTGTTTTATGCATCATTAGTCCGGTCGATAAGTCACTGTTCTCCAATTGGCGGTATCATTACATTATACATTACCAGGACACAGGGCAAAAGTCATAACATCTTTGAAATCTATTACTTATATCTTCTTCATTTTATCTTGTCGTTTTTTGTTTTATTGTAGTAAAATTGTCTTTCTTTGTGTATTCTACTCTTTAAACATGTTTATAATAATAATAATAATATGGTTATTTTTGAAATCTAGCATCTGATTTTAGTATATTTCGTATGAGCAATATAATTTACGATAAACGTTTCATCCTATCTGAAACTCATCAAGTGCATGTACCCTCATCTCACTGTTGATATTTCCACTGAAACTTAAACCAAATACCTTTAACTTCAAATCGCAACACCTTATCCTTTGAGTTACCGAATTCGTGCAATGAATAACTTGCTTATTATCATGAAGGTATAAGTCATGGTTCTTAACTGTCTAATCGATTCCATTATATCTTTGAGCAAAAACACACAGCAAAATCAATAGTTTTAAATAAGGGTAGAGGGAGAGTTAGATGGCAGATACAGTTTAATTCTAATTGGTTAAAAAAATAGTACTTTTCTATTCCATAATAATTGGTTTCAAACCTGATGATCTTGGTGAGAATATTGACTGAACATTTATACATAATTCAATTAGTATTGTTTGGCTTGTCCCAGAGTGAACATCAACTCGGAGATGCAGGTACACCAAGCTGACGAGTTCTGAATAGGACGAAACGCGTGTCCTGGATCCCAGTGCTAGCCGCTATCTACCATTCATACATAACAACTGTATGTAATATCTTCTTTTATATAAACTGTACAGATATCTGACCTTTTTTATTCTAATCAGTTTATTGAGTCAAATAGATTTGAGATATTTATGTGATGAAGTTTGGGTTATCCAATCAATTAAAGTTGGATTACATAATCAGTGTAAGCATATTTTGAATTACCAAGTAATTATCAATATGTTAACTGACAATAGAATATCTCATAACTTACTTTCTGTCACTTCATTTTCCGAGACAGGAGCAGCTGAAACATAAAATTAATGTAAATGTATAATGACTGTGAAAAAATTATTAGATCTATGAATAACTAATATTTTACTCAACAAGTCTCAAATAACTTAATTCTTTTCCGTCAAGAAAAACGTTGATAGTTCTGAAGTATAAAGAAGCCTGGGGTAACTACTTTTCAAGACCAATTTGTCCTATTGTGGGACTCCTCAGTAGTGCACATCCACGATTCCGCCTCATGAGATTTGAACCCAGGACCTATCGGTCTCCCATGCGAACACTTGACCTCTAGACCGCTGAGCTGGCCGGCACCCAATGGCGTTAATGTCTAACTTCAACTAATTCACGGAATTGAGAGACACATCCACTATTGTCTGCAGTGTGTCACTATCGCACAATAGACCAGGTGGAAGAATTTCTATTTCTGTTGTGCTTCAAGGTCATATATACTGACATATATAAACTGAGCTGTCCATTTATAATTTTGACTTTTCGAAGATTTCTCTAGGTATATTTCGATAGTAATCATATGACCAATTGACTATTCGGACACTTCCTTTTAATGATTTTGAATAATTAGCATTCTAATATTTTTATAAAATTTCAGGTAATGAATATTTTTACAAAGTACAGTTATATGTGAATGTTTCAGCATTCAAATTCAATGTACTAAAATTACCATTAAAAAACTGATTAATGACCCTTTCTGATAATATTCATCATGTGCTCATTAGTGACTAACTTCAAGAGGTATTTCCGGGAGTTCTAATGAGAAGCAGTGACCAGTGAAGTTTAATTGTGTCTATTGTGAGGCAGTGACTCACTGAAGACAATGGTGATCGGTGGCGCAATTTCGTGGATTGGTTTAAGTTAGACATTAACACCACTGGATACCGGCTAGCTCAGTGGTTTAGAGGTTAGGTGTTCGTGTGCAAGACCGATAGGTCCTGGGTTTAAGTCCCGCGTGTGGGGTCGTAGGTGAGCATTGCTGAATAGATCCATACTAGGGTGAAACGGCCATCCAGTGCTACCAGGTTTTCTACAGTGGTCTACCTTTGATTAAATCATGAATTCAACTACTTAAAATTGCTACAATCTCCACAAAACACTCTTTCTGATAAAAAATTAAATTGTTGTTAATATTACTTACCCTGTTCATAATAGCATAAATTGATTTCAACATCACAAAAATCATGATATGGTACACGTGCTGGTGTTAAACCTTTCACATTATATGGTGACCAAGTATGATTTTGATCAATTGACCACCAGTTTGGATCACCTCGATTAGGTGCATCTACACAAATATATTCTTCAGTAACATGCATTCCAGTAATTTGTTGACATTTATCTCCAACCCTAAGTAAATAATAATAATAATAACAATAATAATAACAACAGTTTTCATGCAAGTTGTTTCAAATTTAAAACGTCCTTATAATGACAACTTGATCGAATCACTTAGTTATACCACAGACGTATTGAACTTTAAAAATGTGATACATCACATTAACCGTTGGCAGAGAAACAAACGCTTATATAAATTACCTGTACAAATAAAAAGGACCAGTTTCAGCAGGGAAACCATCAATTGGACTGTCAACACTTGGTGAATCAGTTCGACAACAGAAATGATAATTGAGTCGGTCAATTTTTGATGTACTCTCTTTCATATGTGCTCTTATACGAATAATATCTGGTGTAGATGTTGTTGTTTGTTGTAGTAAATCTATGTTTCGATTTATTTGTGAATCTGAGGTGTCTTTGGAACGTGTCAGCTTTTCCGGTCCTTCAAGTATACTTAACAATCCTTCACTGAAATCTGGAAAATAGTGTAAAAAATATGTATGAAAACAATTCATGAGTTTCGAACATGAATAAATATATTCCAGTCCGTCTAACAAATGCGCTCATTGAGCTATAAATAGCTATTTTACAACATCTAAGGTACTTTGATTTTATCCGTTCCAAACTATTATAAATGCTTTCGTTCCATCTCTATTTTCATTGTTCAAATTCTCCCTAGAAGTCTTCACATATCAGGCTTATTGGTTGCTTATCGTTTTATGTTTTAGTGTCTTCAAATCGTCCCACTACTACGCTATTATGACCATTTTGTAATTGAAGAATGAAAAATGTCTAAGGGTAGTAGATTCAATGAGTAGAAAGTGAGATCGAGAATGGCGATCCAGTTACCCTAAGTTTTATAAAACGACGTTTTTGTGACCTTCGTTTGTATATTAATTGGATAGCACACATCTATATCTTTGTTCCATAAATCTAAATTCAACTATTTCAGGATGTCGTGCGATGATTACCCACAATCATTAGTGATAACTGTCTGCATTCATTCACAGTTAAACTTTACCGGTAACGGGTTCCTAGGTTCGAGACCTCTAGGAGTCATGAATTTTTACTGCTAAGAAGTTTCATAGTAGTATCAAATAGCTGTTTTCTGATGCCTGATCTTCAATGGTAAAAATAACTTATTTTCAAACGTAAGCGAATTAAGTTCTTGAAATATGAAGTAGGCTTAGGCGCAAGCTTGACGGCAGTTTGCTCAAATTTTTGGGTCACCATTTTTCAAAACACATATTTATTTCCATGGACTTTTTTGGTAAAGATTTATTTCAATTAACCATTTATGTCCCTCAACCATGAGTATTTAACGCGAATCTAATTACCGAGGAATTCGTCAACTAACACACTGAAATGTTGATAAATACAGAATCCATACATTAGATATATTCAGTGATGAACAGAGATATCGTGGGAGCTAGCTCGATTGTAAACATACGCAATTGACTATGAATGACAGATAGTCACTGTCTAAAATATTTTTCATGTCAATGTTTTTGTAATATTCATAAGCCAAATACTTATAGTATAGGAATTTAATTGAGAACTTTTGCTGAGAATTGTTGGGTGGTCGTTAGAGTTTAATATCGACAATGTGAGCTTCTTATATAAGATCCCAACTGGCTACTTTAGTCAGTAAACTAAGTGTAAAGGGTTAGTTTTTATTGGCTAAGCTGAACCAAGTTAAACGAACAAAATCGTTCATTAATGCATATCTGTTTTTCGTAAAAAGTGAAACCCTATTCTTAACTAACAGGGTATATCTGTCTCTTCAGAAAGTTAAGTCATATCATGACCAGTGGCATATATCCATCAGCATTCCACCTATTATTTAACCATTAAACAACTTACCTACTGGACAGTTACCATTGACGCGTAGCACACAGTAATGACCAGCTGGAAGAGATTCTTCACCTCCATAGTTTCCTGTACGATGTGCAGTTTGATCATCAGTGAATACACAATAGTCCAAAAGTATATCTTTTTTACGCTTAAAATAAACTCCATCTAGATGAATTGGCTATTTAATGGTATTTTAAACAAGAGGAAATGATCAGTAGAAAGGAATATGTTACATTGAGTATTTTAAGGTTGTAGCTTTTTGTTAATTCAAATGTTAATTATATTAGTTAAGTGGTTGTAGGCAGTCAACAGGAAATCCTACTTGATCTAAGGTGTGCACTAGTTGATAGCTATCAGAAAGGTTTACCTGCAATCTTGAGGAGAATGACATTCCTTATAGGTTTTGAAACCCTTATCACTTAATTTCACGGTGTCAGGCATTTCATGCTGATTACCTCAAACTACCTAACATTTTAATTAGTGCAGGCAATACTGAATCACTTCAAATAGTGGTAACATCGTAACTTGGTCGATAAAATAACTTGATCACTACTGAATGCCTTGACAAATAAGCCAATGGCCATTACTAAGTGATCAATTAATCATAAACTTCATTTGATCGTCAGCATTTCATCCTCTATGGGAATCGTCAGTTGTACAAAATGGGCGTCCTGCATTCCACTATTAGCCACCATCGATTTTTGCTTATAATGCTAGTGATCCAAGGCAATATTGAGGCAATCCAAATAGGATGTACATATGTCAATAAGAAACTGATCCATTGCAGTCCTAAACACCAATGAAAAGATTCTAACAAACAGTACAAAATGAATTTATCAATGTCTCTGCTAGTAGTCAGTTCTTTACACAGAACTTCAAACGAAGCACTTTATCCATTTATTTCCTCTTAAAAGATGAATCTCAAAATTTGACTTATATTTGTGATATGTCCAACTAGAATGAAATGTGATTAGTCAGTGAATGAAGACAAATGTGATCAGCTAAATCAAATATGAGGTTTTCTTGTATTATGAAATGTGTCTCATTTTGATCCAAATAATAACCTGCATCGTACTTGCGATAATATGCTCTTATTCTAATCATATCCGATTCTTGATCGTTGGTTGGATAACTGAAAATCGTTATCCAGTGTTTATTGCTAGTAATCGAAACAATTCAATTCATTCAGGCTGCTCTAAACATTTCTTATTCTCAAACATAATACTATCCTCTGTTGTTTGCGTATACTTAAGCATGAATCATTCAATTGTTAGCATAGAGGGTTTATGGAGCTTGTTAAATTTGAGATTTCACATAACGGATTGACTTTAGCTGGAAAACTATCTAACAACTGAAAGTACTAGAGAGCTATTTTGTCCTTATATGATACTCGTCAACTGTGTACATTCATGACTTCACAATAGATTGAATCCAGGATCTTTAGAACTCGTGACGAGTGTTTAGCCTTCAGATCAATGTCAGCATTATATGGTTGACATTTTTATTTTCAGTCATTTCTAAGTAAGTTTTAGGTTGACAAGATTGTCAAGATTGAATTGATAACTGTAAGCTTATTAAAGTCAATGACTAATCAGTTAATAAATAATGATTTTAAAACAAACTAATATATCAGTAACACTAACTTGTGAATAGTGAAATCCATATCTATCTTGTTGATGTCGCATTGTTGCTTTTACGGAACCTTTTGGACAATCATTTAATGATTTTGGTATAGCATAGTTTGCTACAGGCCAATCTGTGTAATACGAAGAAAAGAACATATGCTGAAATAATTACTAAATTATCATATCAGAATAGAATGCAAAGTTTATAGAAGTGGTTCTATTCTAATCTACTTTTTCTTTTTCATCAAAAACTCTATTCACTAATGGCTGTGTAATAAGAAGTGGTTATTGTCGAAGCTCTCCATTATTTTGAGTGAGTTCTCGAAATTTTAGGAGGAAATCAGTACTGAATGACTTCGTACACATCTGGATTGAAAAAAGGTAGTCAACAGGAAACCTCTGACCTAGGTTTCGTGCTATTTGGCACTCGTCAGCAAGGTGTACCTGTAATTTTGATTGAAATAGTCGTTACAAATCATATTGGATGATCTTAACTCTGTATCCTAAATCGATTAAAGTCGGAAATGTGTACCAGTGAATTTTAATCAAGGGGTCTAATGGCTGAACGCCCTCCAAGAGATTTAAAGATTTTGTGTTCAGACTTTGACGAGATCGTGGATGCTCACTGCTGATCAGTTCCAAACTAAGATCAAACAGTTATCCATTATTAACACATTTTCACTGAAATCCCAAATGAAATCATCGCATGAAAAATTGCCCCCAAATCTTATTCATTTTATTCATTTCAAAATCTTGATCAAATTTTCATATTTCTAAACTTGATGATTTTACTATCCTTCAGGACTTAAGGTATTTTCATGCTTATAATTTTAGCTCATTTTCTTAAACTGTTCAAATTCATTATAAGTAGAATAAACGATTATAAAAAATAATTCCAAACTTACTTCGATGATCATCTGTACCGGGTGTTTTACCTGTACCATATTCACAATATATTACATGTACAATATCATTTTCCGACCATATACCAGTTTGAATATCAAAATGTAAACCGTTCGATTTGGAGACATTGAATAATGTAAGTAAATTTTTATACTGTCCAAACAATTGTTTATTTTGAGGACGTGATGATAATGAGACATTCTCTGGTATATACATACTTTCAACAATACGTCGTTTCAATTGTATATCACGAAATTGAGGGCAGTAACTTAAGTCTTTTAAATATTTTTGTGAATTAGTTTGTTCATACGTAGTTAATACTTTGGTGCCGGTGAAATTTTTCAATTCCCTCTTGTCATCCTTTGTTGGCCAACCCAAAGTGACAAATGAACGAACTGTTGGTGTGTTTATTGACGTTGTTGTTGTTGTTGATGATGATGATGTCTGATTAAGTTTATCGACTTCTGAAATATATTCTTTAATAAGGCAACAAATAACCGTATTCATATATGGTGCAGCACCGACTTCTCTAAAGACTACAGCAGAAAAATCAAGAACCAAATAACACTAAAATTTTCTGAATAACACAGTAATTGCTTGTATAATTTACGTCATGAAGTGACCTTAGTTAAATAGCCATTTGAAACCAAGAAGCATTGCACAACTGTTTTGACCCAAAAACGGACTACATAGAAGTGCACATGCGCCATCGTATTGGTGATTTTGCCCAAAATTTTCAAGTTTCTTGATGAGAGCTTAACTTTCACACCTCTGAGCCTGTATCTAATGATCTACATGTCTACACGGAGTTATATATGTTTAACGAAACAGCTCTTCAATACTTCATGGTTTCCGGTAGTTATTTAACTAAGATCAATTCATAATGTAAACAATAAAATTCAACAACCTTCATAAACCTCCTGCAATAAGAGTAACCGCTTGTTGGAATAAAAGGTTATAACTTGTAACTGGTAATTGAAAATAAATTAATTCGTAATTGATGGTTTGTCTTTGGTTCAGACTTAGCTAAGTGTATTAACTGAATACTGAGGTTTCTTCAAAAATTATTTGGATAATGATCTTTATTAGTATCGTATTTCATGCTGAGCTAATCAATGAATGGAGCAGATATCTACAGATGGCATTGGATGATGGTTGTACAACATCGCAAATTATTTAAATTAAGCAGTATGAAACACTGGACATTTACCAATTAATCTAAAGTTTAAGCTATCACAGCAAGATCAAAAACTCATGGATTCTATCACTGGTGAGATTTTAGACATACACTGATGAAATATCCTTTTCTAAGGAGAACCAGGGATCCAGTGCTTCGAATTTATTACTCAAAGTAAGCTTGCTAGTTAACTATATATGTATTATATCTTCATATTTTCTTCAACAAATTCACTAATTATCAGAAGGGGTATTGTGGAGATTTTATTAATTTAATAGTTGAATTCACGAGTCAGTTAAAGCTAGACCTCGATGAAAAACCTGAAAGCAAAAAATGCCGTTTCGTCCCACAATGAGACTTCTCAGCAGTACACATCCACGATCCCGCCCGCGGGATTCGAACCCAGGACCTATCGTTCCAGCGCGAGACCGATAGGTTTTGGAAGATAACATTTATTAAAATGTCCACTACAATTTTCATTTTATCATTACTTCACACTGAGAAAGTCTTGACGTCATCTCTAGTCTCTGTTGTTTCATGAATACTTTTGTATTAGGTAATAGTTTATGCAAAATCTTCTAGTTTTCATTTACGAAGTTAACTATGAATAATCAGTAAATTCTCAAAAAAAATTTTAAACTATTTATGACTAAAAACTGATCAACTTAGAAAACAAATTTATACTTCGGTGCATAATTTAATCATAAACAAATGTCACTTAATAAATTAGTGAGGGCTCAGCCCTACAGGAGGACAGTCGTGACTCGAATAGCTCGGTGGTAACGTCTCTGACTGTGAAAATAAATAATACGGGGTAGGATCCGTCAGGGAGCGTCAATTCCCTCAAGATTACAGGTACATCTTGCTGACGAGTGACAAGCAGCATGAAACCTATTTTTAGGGTTTCCTGTCAATTACCTCCAACCACCATCTCATCTCAACATAGTGCACGTAATGTCGAGTCACCTAGACTAGTGATCACATTACAACTTGGTCGATAGGATTTTTGTTCTTTCGTTTCCATATCAATCATTTTTTGTTCTCGTTTTCTTTTATTTGATGTTCTGCCTCTAGGCATTTTACTTTTGATTGATGATACATACTACTTATATTTAACAACATCAGTAGCACACATCACAATACCAGAATAAAACAAATATCCATTGCTATTTAACTTTAAGCAACACTCTAAACAAAGTTTATCTATAATAAATACAATATAGAAAAATGTTATTATTAATTTAATACAAAGCTTTCTTACATTTATATGGACAATTACCAAATACTGATATACAATATCCAGTTGATGGATGAATTAATGTGGGAATATTTTCCAAATTCAATTCATTGAAGCATATATCACTTGAATCACTTGTACGTGTTGTCCAACGTGGTCGTTTATATGTTAACCATTGATCTTGCACTGAAATTAAGCATGAATTACAAATTATAAAACGAGATTAGTAGTAATGTTTATGGTTAGAACATTCGGTTAGTGGAAGTTGAAATAATCTGTAAGAAATGCCATATGTATATATCATGATTTGAGTTTTTCTACTGATAATCTTGTGGAATGAATGTGATCAGTCTGTTGGTATATCTAGATCTTTAGTGCAATACCTAGAGAGTACCTTCAGTTAAAAACGTTTTTCTACCCGTTGAAAACGTTGGCAGCTATCTGAATTCAGTAGATCAGTGGTTAATATGTTGCTGTTTGGAGTTCCAGATTTGAGTTTCACCATAAACATAAACACAGTGATCCAGTAGATGTAGCTGCGGAGTCCTAAACATGATGAACCGTGACTCTTAGATTTCAATGCTAGCCACAATATAACTTCACCAAAAAAACGGAGCATTAGTCATCCCTAAGTTGTAGATACTTTTGAATGATGAGTTCCAACTAACAAGTTACTTAAATACAAGGCTTTCTATTAACTAGTCATCAAGAAATATCATTAATCATCCCATTCCCTCTTTGGACATGTTTTAGCTTAGCGAAATTTTAAATAACAAATGAACAGTAACGTTTAACAAAATTACGGTGGAATCAAGAATAGTGATTTTGCCATAAACATTTATATAGCTCAATGGACGCTTCATCACCTTTTAAAATTCTGATACCTCATATAAAAGAACACATTATTATGGCACATACTACTACTACTACTACTACTACTACTACTACTACTACTACTACTACTACTACTACTACTACTACTACTACTACTACTACTACCACTTCTATGTTGTGTGCTACTGATGTTGATAGATCTAAGTAGTATGTATCACTATTCGAAAGTGGAATGCCCTTTTGGCAGAAAGTTGAGGAAATCAAAGAGAAGAGAATGAGAACAGAGAGTGATTGGTGTAAATACGAAAGAATAATGAAGTCTGAGATGATTGCTTGACATTTTGCAAATGAAGTATTCACTGTATGGTTCTCAAATTTGACTAGGGCATTCTGTAATTTTATATTTAAATATATTTGGTTGTCTCCACTAATGTTCTCGTTCACTACAATAGCTTTTGTTATTCATTCAAATTATTCAATTCAATCTCTTTGTTACACTTGATCATATTTGAATTAACTCACTTATATTAAAGAATAATGCAGATAAACGACCCAATTGGCTTCTTCTAAATCCGACCCCTTTAATTTGATCATAAAAAGTACAGTAAAGTAATACATTAAAGAATGATTTTAACAATTCTAAAATTGATTTCATCACAAGTGAAGATATTAAGATTATACTTGAATTGAATTTAGTTTATTGTTATGCTATCGGATAGTCCGGCTTAAATGCACGCTTCTTATACGTTTGATTAAACACAAACGAAAGCAGGAATGTTGAGAAATGATTAGGAATCCTTCAGTGACAAACTTAATCAATTAGTACACAAAAACACAGATATACATACATTGATGAGTTGACTTCCTCGAATAGCGTACCTTGTTTATCATCACCTACATATTGTTTGACCTTAATGTGATATGTGAGTAGCGGTAGGTGGAATGTCTGGACTTGTCTGGCATATCATTTATCATAACTTAGTATAACAATCAGCTTAAGGTTAACGTGTTTTAAATCAGACGATCAAAAACGTTAGATCTATCCACTAATGGATCCCGGCTTAATGATTTAGAAGTTAAGTGTTAGCAAGCGGGACTACAGGTCATAGGTCCGACTGACAATTGAAGGATCATGGGTAGATACCGCTGAGAAGTCCTATACTAGGATGAAATAGCCGTCGAATACTTCCAAGTTTTCAGAGGTTGTTTAACTTTGTTCGGTACGTGATTTCAGTGAAAAGAATTACTGTTATGACGATTGAACCTACTTTTTCCAGGTAACTTTGAACAGTATTTTGGCACAGAAGTTTTATTATTATCACTCCCGTTTACAGTGTCATTTAAACTGGAAACAACACGTGGCCATACCAGCATTATATGTGATCTATCTATTTAAGAAAAAAAAGTACCAAGAAGACAAAATGTGATTAATAATTATTATAAAAAATGAAGAAAAAAGCTGACAAGTCGAAATGATTTGAAATAAACAGCTGTATTTCACAAGATCTTAATTTCAGTCCCTAACAATTTAATTTCGATGACTAGATCAGTCAGTCAGATAAAATGTAGGACCTGGCCTGACAGTGTTACTGGGCTTTATGCATAAACTGTCATGTGAAAATGAAGATTAGAGTTAGTGATACGTTTATCTGCCTAATCCATAAATTAACTGAAAGGAGTAAACAAAATTACTGCCAAGATAAAATTCTCTGAAGTGGAGTGGTATAATTCCGGAGCTTTCATTGTTTATTGTCTGAAGTGAACGATACTCACAGTTCATTCTGTTTTGGGACGAAATATTGCACATGAATCAGTTAAAAGTAGATGTTGTTCGCTGACTGAAACCTTTTTGTCAAAAACTCAGTATGCATAATATTACTATTTACTACGTAGGTGAGATGTAGAAGTGGCTACGATGCTGTAATTGACAGAAGCAAAGAAATAAGTATACAGATTGTTGGTGTATAAACTTTTCTTCTTTTTGATTTAGACAAGGACATGTAGATTGAAACATTATTTAAGGGACTAGTGGAAATCTTCGAATAGCGTGTTTTAAGACGATATATGAACACAAATACGTGATATGTTTAAACATACCCAGTCTATCAGCTGATAGGGCTCCATGCTTATGTTTGAGAGTTTATCACCATATTTCAAACGTTGTCAAATGTGGATTTTTTAAATTGAAGTTGTCGATAATACCTGCATTTCTAAATAACCGTATTACATAACTCTTTCATTTCTTTCGAATCTGTTGCCAGTTGGCTATTCAAATTGTAGTTTACATTCATCACTGATTGATACCAAGTTTCTGATAATAAAGACTTCAGTCCGAGACTGCTAGGTTTGAAGCTATTACGAGTTCACTTAGTATGCGAACGAAACAAAGACTTGTGACCGTAGACCAATAAGCTAGCTATTTGATGCGTCCTAGCCCCGCTAACTAGAGGAAGAAGTCCAAGCTTGGGACGGGAAAGTATATTCCGTAAGCCAGAAGCATGAGTGAATAATAACAGACACAAATCAAACGTATATATACAGCATAAAACTGTCCTTGGAAAGTGTTGTGAAATAGCATACTAAAAATACACAATGGACCATTAGCGTTAAAGATTCTCCCGAGTGAGAAATACGACATGAAGGTGAAAAGAGCGCTTTTGGCGCGAAGGCAAGGAAATTTAAATTTCCAAAATAAAATTACAAGATTAAGACATTTACCAAGTGAGTTCTGGGGATCTAACATCCTCAACAGAGATCTATGTGGTTTGGATCTAATTGCTAGTGGGGTTGTGGATAACCGCCACTCAAGAATCCCATACTAGAACGAAATAGGTTTTCAATCATCTCTAGTTTTCAATTCTATCCCAAATGAGATCATTCTGTGACAAATTAAAATAATCTTCAGTAGACTCTATCAACTAGTGCACTTGGTGTTAGGCAAATAACTAAACAAACTATTTTTACCATCGAACCACATAAAAAAGATGGATGAGGACAAACTCCGTTCTCATTCACAATTTTGACCTTGCATCTTGTAACCAACCAAAATGAAGCGGGAATTGTTATTTACACTATTGTAATCCGTTATTAAGGTGATATATCGTTCTCTGTAGTTTCTGATGTAAAGTTTTCTACGACAAAAATACCACTCCATCATGCTATAAACGTGTCAAGTGTAGCGCAGTCAGTCATGATGGACGAAAATTACAACATAGTAAAAGTCATACTTCGAATTATTTCCCTCAGGTAAATTATTCCAAAATATCTACAATTGAGTGATTCAATAAACGAAAACATAACCGTATTTGCTGACTACGATACACTTAGATGATTTGACAATGCGAAGTTTTACCAGAGACGAAAAAGGACACTTTAATGAATGTAAAATGTGTAACCAAATTCGATTTAATAAATGTGGTAACCTCATTATCTAACCTCACCTAAAATGATCCAAGACAGTCTACTCTATCTTAAAAACGAGGCTCAACCCAAAATAAAAACATGCCTTAAAAAACTAACTTTCTGCTATGAAATCCCCTAAGGTCCACTAAATGAGGTTTCACCAAACCCAAATGGCTGGCTCACTGTGCCAAGTAAAATAGTTACTTGTAAATGAATTGCTTGGTCTCTAGCTTTCGCTGTTCACCTTATTAAAAAAATATAAACTTACTTCCTTTTGGGTAATAAACACATTGATGTAATTCAGCATCAACACTGAAATTCTCTATTGCTTGACATGGTTGATAAACTGCAGGCAGTTTAAACGGGGCTTCTAAATTAATTGGTAATTTAATTGCTCCAATTGATTCTTCAGTACGACAACATGTACTACCAAGACTTTGTAAACTGAAACCGAATCGATCGACACCACTTCTTGATATGAATCCTAGATTTTTAAAAAAATGTTTTCGTCTGTATGAATGATGAATAGTTGTTAAGTAAAAATAATTTTTAAAAGCCTTTCACTCGAATAGTAATTATGCATTCACTAGCTTCTGGCCTCAAGAAAATGTTTAACTCGAGAAAGAAGTCGTTAGTGACGAAGTTCAAAGATGTTAATTGTATGGTGTCAATAAGTGATAATCACTCAATATTACTGTTTGTATGAAGTTTGACGGTTCAATAAGGTCCAACAATGATCGAAAACTCAATGGTAGTCGTTCATTTATTCAAATCAAACATCGTTTTCATATTATTTTATCCATTTACATCAGGATGAAATAACTATTAACCAGTTAGACCAAGAAACACACTCTCAAACTTCATGAACAGCGCTAGGCATTCAACATTAGTTAATTGTTTGAATATTGGTAGCCTAAAAATACATTTTGAATGACCTTCCAACCTGATAAAAGTTTCAGTAACGTTGTACAACACTTAAATCATCCTAAAAATCCCCAGGCTTTATTCAAAAGTATATTCTATTGAAAAGCCAGTTATGTACATATACCAATTAACCAATTGATTTAATCTCAATGTCTATCACTACTAATACCAATACTTATACTGATACCACCACTACTAATACTAATACTATTACTAATACCATTACCTTTTCCGTCATAATTAACAATGTTTTCTGTTATATCCGGACGAAGAATAGGCGAATAGTAACTGCTAGGATCTGTTTATGGACTTTTATTATATATGTTCTTATTATATAACTATTAAGTAACTATGTTATATGTATATTCATATTCCTTTTATTGTAAGCTTCCATTTAGCTTATTGACAACTATTATACGGTTTACTATTATGGACTTATTCTCAGTTTATTAGTTACAGTCTCTCACAATCACAGCCACTTTTTGGTCTGATATTATATAATTGTTATTTTCTGTTTTGTAGTATGATGAGGTCTGATTTGTTTGTATATAAACTGCGTATGCCTGAAATACACCATTCATATAGCCGAAGCTGGTATTGGTTTTCTGGACTGAACCGACTGGGTTAGGCTAGAAGCTACTATATCAGAGGAACAATAAGAACTCAGAGTTGACTCTAGGCTGCTCGTATTGGTTAACACGTCATTGGTTTGGCACAATGCCGAGGTCGTATAAGTCGGCGTTCGAATCGAGTTCATGACTAAATATTTTGATACAGCATAATTAAATAAATCAGATAAACAAATAAAACTAAGATTACCTGTAGGGCATGTAGAGGATAATTGTAAGAAACAATATTTCCCAGGTGGGAAAACTACCGTAGAGTTCGCTTCAAATCCACAAGTGGCTCCACCATAGCTCATAACTTCTCGATGTCCCAAACCATCACAATCATAACGAAGTGATTTCACCCCTAATTTAACTACATATTAATATAATTCATAAAAATTAAACAGAAAAAGAAAAATTAAGCAGGGAGTTATTTACTACTAACAAAAGTATTCAGTAGATAAAATTTTGTTGTTCAGTAGGTGTGAAACAGTTTGAAGAGGTAGATTTCGTTTCATTCATCACCTAGATGGATTTGAACATGTTCTTCTACTGTAGTATGGTAGAGAAACAAGGGATGAGTGGTCAGATATTCAACGAAAATTGACTAAGACAAAATGTTTGAGATAATCAGCTGCTTTTTTAACTCACGTTCGTGAATAACGTATTTGTACACACTGATTATCAGCTGTTAGGTACTATGTAGAAATGCGCTTAAGTTGGTGGAGTAGTGTTTAGTATTTCTCAAAATCTAACAAAGTAGTACGTGGAGGTTAGTATGAACACAAATATATCAAGTTTCTATGCTCACATACCATCTAAAGGCCAAAGGGTGGATGAGAGTTTGTAGAAATTTGTTCCCAATTATGTAATCTCAGTCAATGAATGTATTTATTTACAAAAAAAAGTTGAATTCCCTTCATTTTCCCAAATGAATTATAGCCAGGATCAATCCATAATGAGATTCTTGATACATATTGTTGAAAGAGTTCCATACTAGAACGAAACATATATTCAGTGTTTCCCAGATTTCAATAGTTTTTTAGGCAAAGTCACGGTTCATGATGTGAAATGAATTTAAGTTAAACATCCAAACTAATGTCTCGTGTCAGTAAATGAAATTTTATTTATTTTAGCACTGGTCAGCCATTTCGTCGCAGTATGGGACTCCTCAGCAATACGCATACACAACCCCTCACATGGGAATCATACCCAGGACCTTTATTGCCGCTCATGAACATATAATCTCTAAACTAATGAGTCGAGATCCAATGGTGTTGATGTCTGACTTCAATCAATCCATGACATTTCGCGATCATCTTCCAGTCTTTGGTGAGTAACTACTTTACACCCCAACATAGATTAGCTCCACTGGTAACGGCTTCTTACTGGAACTCCAAAAATTCTCTCTCAAAGCTGGTCACCGATATGCCTATATTCTAACTTAGATGGGTTCATAATTTTGGTGAAATTCAACAATCTTCACAACCCTTTAATAATATTAAAATAGAACTTGGATGAAGAAATAACCAAATTATTAAACATAATTTTTTTTTTCACTAAACAACGAATGATAATGTTAAAATATACAATTTCATTTAAGTCACCTTTCAAATCTCAATTACTGACGTTAAATCAAACTAACTTCTACTTAGTTGTCCGCTTCGTTAACATGCAACAACAAGCTGGATGAGAATAACTCGATAAATCTGGAGACAATGTCTTATCTATATCAGATGTAGGACTTGTTATAACAGAATACGAGTTGAATAATTCAGATTACTAGCATTGGATACTGAATCACGATACTTCATCACCTAATGTTCACAACAACTCAATTATCCAACCATCGATCAAGAACGGGATATGATCAGAGTAGGACGATGTTAGCTTAGGTTGTTGTTTGGATCAAAGTGAAACATATTTCATAATATAAGATAACCTCATATTTGATGAGGCTGGTCATTTCTGTTTCCATTTATTAACCAATAGCAAGTTATCCCATCTTGATGCATCAAAACTATTGAAACTCAGGCATCAGAGAGCAAAACTTTTTTCGAACATTCATTCACAAAACCAGTACACTCTCACTAGTGATTATTTTCAATACTTTAACTCATGGTTAATTACTAATAATCAGGCTCATACAACGAAAAAAACATTTGTTTACTGCTTCCATTTTCGATATTTTTTTCTGGTTAGCGTTTTTTTAGCGAGTTAGTTTTCTACGGGATGCGGTCGCTAGTCCCATGCCCAACTCTCCTTCTCTATCCGGGCTTGGAACCGGCAGTAGCCCCAGAGGGGCTTCAGGCGGAGGAAAGCACCCAACTGCGTCACAAGGCAAGTCCTCACATGGAGTCCTGAAGGCCAAAGGAAAGTAAGTAAGTAAGTCCAAGTTCTAAAACTCAGGACACGGGTTCTAAAGGTCCTGAGTTCAATTCTAAGTGGGACTTTAGATAATATTTGTTGATTCATTCCATGCTAAGGTGTAAAATTTTACTAGTTTTCAACGGTTGTCTAACTTGACTCAGTTTTTGATACAAAGCAATGAAATTCAATAAAGCTAAAATCGATAACTTAACGAAACGATGATTTCGGGATAACTTACTTTCTTGATTTAAATATTGACAGATGATTATGTTTGGTATTCCATCTAACTTAACTGGATTATCTGGTCCAATTAATTCAATTTGATCACCATATGGACGAGGAATTGGACGATTATACTATAATTTGGAATAAATTGTAAAAGTATTTTATTCAGTAATCAAAGGAAATCAAGCAAACCTGAGACCTTTTTCAAATCGTAAAGTGTTTTATTGAATGATTCTCGGTAAAAGCATGTGAAAATACTAATAATTTTGCATTGACCACTGTGAAGACATTCAAAATTTTAAAGATCTTTATAGTCCTCAGTAAATGAAAGTGAGTACTTTTGTAGATCTATTCGAAAAAAAGGTCGAATCAACTCACAAATGTCATTTCCAAGTAATTACACAGAATCTTTATCCTTTTCGTCATAGACCAGTTGAGTTCAACCGTGTCTGTTGTGAGGCAGTGGCTCACAGAAGAAATATTGAACGGTGACTCAATTTTATGGATTGGTTGAAGTTAGACATTACCACAATTGGATGCCAGCCGGCTCAGCGGTTCAGAGGTTAAACGTTCGTGTGTGAGATCGAACGTCCTGGGTTCACTGTCCAGCTTGTGGGACCGTGAATGTGCACTGCTGAGCAGTCTCGTACAAGGGTGAAATGGCCACTCGATCCTTCTAAGTTTTCCATAGTGGTCTTGTTTGAATAAACTCATAAATTCAACTATTAAATTACTGCAATCTACACAAAACCCATTTCCTAATAATAGATTAATAATTCACTTCATTTCACTTACTTGTACTACTGTTAATTTAACATTGCCTGAATAAAATGTTGGACATGTTGGACCATTTTGTATTATAGCAAATGGTGATGTAATTCCTAATGGGGTTTGATAATTAATTTTATCTAATTTAGTATCATCTTCATAATCAGTAAAATTTGCTAGTGAATTTACAGAACAACACAACTTTAAACGATAACCAACTTGTACAAAATTGATTTCATTTTGTCGTAAACCTAGCCAAAGTAAATAATAACAAAATGGGTATATTAACTAAAGAGAATCTAGACTATGATAATATATAAAACAGAATTAAAGCGACCTCCAAAATGCCCTGGTACAGTCGAACGTGAAGAGAGTTCACTCAATGTCACGAAATTCTCTCACATAACCACGCGTATACAGCTACTGTTTGGGTAGTCCTACTTAATGCCTTCTCGCGGCATTACTGTTGTTTACGAAATTGAGAGGACGAAAAGCGAATGTCCGGCGCTTTAACCGGGTCGGTGAACATGGAAAGCCCACCTTGGGGGAGTTGGAAAACCCTCATTCCAAACCAATGGTGCACGTGGGCTCCAGGATCCTGAGGGAACAAATGGCGTATGAACCTATTGTTGGTTACCGGCTACCATGGAACTGGATGTCCTTACGTTGCTTCACTGCCTATGGAGTAGACCTTTAGGTTGAAGGCTCGAGATGTGGCCCCCTAAGAAAACCGCCTGCTTTAGTTTAGGCACCCAGACAGTACCAGAGCCAACACACAAATCGATTATACGTATTACTGGCCTCATTGTAATTGTGTGGCGCATATATATTTGATACCTCTTTGTACCAATGTTTATGTGTTAAAATACACTAAATAAACCTGGTAGTTTCTGATTCTGTCGGCTTAAGAGAATTTCATGCACACTTCTACTATTCAAATAATCGTATTCTTGTTTATTCTCAAACATCATTCAGCCAACTTAAACTATTATTTTAAAAAACACTTAAACAAATTGGGCGTTTCTAACAAAATAAACCTCTACCCTCATATGTTAAATTTGTTTTGTCAAAGTATCTTTTCATTATAATGATGAAGAACCAATTATTTAATGATTATTATCAACATTTGACTTTCATTAACTACCTGCAAGTTACATGAAGCCTATTATTATTATTTTATTTTCGTTTGTATCAATGATCACTCATCCAGTTATAGTGCAAATTAGAGGTTAAGCGTTCGCGCACGAGACCGAAGGTTCTGGGTTTCAATCCCATGAATGCACTCGTGTATGAACACTGCTGAAGAGTCCTGTACTAGGACGAAACGGCCGTCTAGTGCTTCCAGGTTGTATGTATATATAAGGTTTTGTATTGTTGAAATTCAAGACTGAAATTTGATCAGTCTCTGTTGATATGCATAAATATTAAATAACTGCTTTAATATCACTTACAGACTTAAGTTTTGATTTTTTTTGTAAACTGCAGCTAGCACTGGTATTGAAGATGCACGTTTCTTCTTATATAAGATTTATCAGCTAAAATACACCTGAATCTCAAATTTGATGTTCGTACTAAAACCCAAACCCTAAAAACGTGAATCCATTGCTGTGGAAAGCTTAAACAAGTACCACAGTTTTCATTCACAAACATGATATAGGCATACTCTCTAAATGTATGTACGTCAACAAGGACTGGTTAGTTTAAGTCACAAATAACAGTAGAGGGATAAATACAGATCGTTTTACAAATAAACATCGCACTAGTAGACAACGTTTGTATCGGTCTTGTAAAATATCAAAACTAAGCAGTTTATGTTCACTTGTTTACTTTTATCTTCCGATTGTTATCTAGGAATGCAAGTGATCAGTCTCTTGTTGGCATATATGCATCTTGTGCAAACTGCCTCAATATTACCTGAAGTCACAAGCTTTATAAGCAAAGATTTATAGTGAATACAACTTCACCCTTTTACAAAAGCAGGTGGCTATCAAAACCCTAGTGGCTAAGTGCATAACGCGATGGCATTTGAGGTGAACGGTACTGAGTTCGAGTCTCAGAGTGAATATCAACTCTGAGATGCAGGTACATCCAGCTGACGAGTGCCAAATAGAACGAAATGCGCGTCCTGGATTTCACTATCCATCTTAGCTTATAAACAGTTTATGGTTAATTGTGCATATTTTCTCAAAGATAAAGACATTTAATGTTAATATTTGTAATATTACCTTGTGGACATTTATAATTGTAACGTTTATCTTTATCAGTTTCTTGTAGATAATTCGATTTTACATTATCCAATGAATGTTCTGTTACTAAACAATAATTTCCAATCGGTAATTGATTTCTATTTGTTGTTGTTGTGTCTAATTTGTAACGATTTGAAACTGACCAACATAAACTAATACTTGTGCCAAGAATGAATACAACTCGTCGAGAGATTTGTGTTTTAACAAAACCAACTGGACATGTTGGTTCATTAATAAGAAGAGCTAACTGACTAACTAAAAATATATAATAAATAATAAGATATAATTTGTTAGCTAACAATGATAAATATATACAGTTATACTGAATATCTATTTTCTCAATGGTTGAGATCATGAGTCAATTGAAGCTTGACCACCATGGAAAACCTGGAAGCACTTTACGAAACGGCCATCGAGTGCTTCCAGGTTTTCCATGGTGGTCTAGCTTCAATCGACTCATGATCTCAAACATTAAAGTTACTATAATATTCACAAAAACTCTTCTGATATATTTATTTGTAAAACTGATTTCACATTGTTTGTTAAGCTTATTGTACTGTTTATTGATATGTACTGATTGTGATCCAGCATTATTTCTTGATTATTCGTCGACAAATTAGATCGAACATATCATGTGATCAAGTAATATGATCCAATAAACCTAGTGGTTAGTCTATTGCTCAGCTTTAATGATTTATAATGCTATCCAGCTCCTACTTCATTACTATTTCTGTTCTACATCTAGTCGAAATCATAATTTGTACTAGGTAACTAAAGTATTAACAATTTTAATCATTCTAGATTAATTTTCATCATGAAATGATGATAACTGGAAAAGCATTGAAGCTAAGAAGCTGTTCAATAGTAGTATTCACTTATGAGAGTCATACAGGATACAATAATAGAAATTACGTAAAACTATAATATACTGACGGCCTTAAGTTAACCAATAAGGACTAAGATAACGCCTTGTTTTTGAGAGAAATTTAAAGTCCAATGATAGATAGCTTTCATATTATTATTAAAGAAGTAAACCTTGACAATATCTGGTTCTTGAAACGCTTTAAATCAATAAACAAACATGTTAAGGAACTGATAGTACTTAAGCTAAATTATCAAACAAACCTGCTTCTAAGGTGTTTGTTAAAGTACTTGATATAGTTCACTGCATAATCAAGAGTGCTTATTGAAGCTAGACAATATTCGTCCGATAGTGGAGGGAGTCAGCTCTCCCTCTCGAAGTGCTCTCACATGGCCACGTGCATACAAACACTGACAGAAAAGTCCTACTCTCTGCCTTCTCGAGGCGGGGGTGTTGTTTACTAAATTGAGAAGACGGAAAGCGAACGTCCGGCGCTTTAACCGGGTTGATGGATATGGAGGATCAGAAGAAGCCGAAGATATTCCATCCAATCACCTTTTGGAAGAATATTCTAGAATCCCTATGTGTAGCTTCCCAATTAGACAATGCTAATAACCCCCTGTATGCGGATTGCAGGACTGTAATGATGATTTCGGTCTTACTAAAAACTATAAATACCTGACAATTTTGTACTATAATTGACACTGACTGGGAATAATATTCCTTTCATTAGTCTTCTGTCTTCTCATTGCGACTAGGAAGGGTTCTGGCGTTTTGGTGCTCACGTTATACGCGGTATATCAAGAACAACCTTCTAGATATAACAGTCATTCAATCAATTCAATGTGAAAAACAAGTTATGTTGAATCCGACGAGAAATAAAATTAATGTGACAATAGAAATAATGGTAATAATACTCACTTCGAGTTTCAGCGTTTGGTATAAATTCAGATTTAGCTTCACGATATTCACAACTTATTTCAGGAAATAAATTTTGTAATACATCACTAAGTGTTTCATCAGGAAGAACATTACGAAACAATGGTGCAACAAGTCGACTTGTTCCTTTAACTGGTGGACATTGATAAATAGAAACAAATAACGGTGGATCCAGTACTGTAGATTGTGGAGTGTATGAAGTTTCTGGATTGTACAATGATGTTATAGATGACGATGTTAAGGAAGAAGAAGAAGAAGAAGAAGATGATGATGATGATGATGATGATGATGATAAAGAATCAGAATTTGTTATTTCTGATGCTACATTATCATCTGTATCATTTTCAAAAATAGAACGTTTCCATCTTGTTATCCATTTACGACGACGTAATGGAAAGAAATCACCAACTGTTATTCTACGCCGTGGTTTTAAATAAAACCAATCTTCATCTTCAGTTGTAAAAGGTGATATAGTCGTGTCTATATTACGTAACTCTTGTGCTTCTTTACCATTATTATTATTATTATTGTTACTCGTACTAGCACCATAGTCTCCTTTATATTGTGAAACTTTTTCAATAGATATATATGGAGTTCGTGTAGAATTAGTCCAAAATTCAGGTTTTACACAACAAGTAATTATTTGTAAGATATTATCAAATGTTGGTCTCCATGCTGTTGGACCAGAGAGATGACCAATAAATTCTAAACTTGGTTGAAATCGTCTAGTGCGCATAAAACCTGTTAATGTAATCAATAATTTTATTGCATATAATAACAAACTATGATGTATAAATTACATTTGAATTATCAGAAAGGGGAGGGTTGTGGAGACTATAGTAATTTATTGATTGAATTCATCAATCAATCGAAGCCAAACCATCATAGAAAACCTGGAAGCACTAAACGGCCATTTCGTCCTGATATATGGGTCTCCTCAGTAGTGCACATCCACAATCCCGTTCACAGGAAATTAATTAAGATGATAATTTGTAAAAGTCGAATTTTCCTTAAATAATCCTAACAGAAAAGTGAATGTATGGTTTTGTAAATCGTGTGTATCTAACAATTAGTTGTATCATAATAACTAATGTCACAACACGATTGAAAGTACACTACTGAGCATTAGTGTTATAACTATACAATTTGTTATCAAAATGAAAATTTTTTTTATTTAGAACCATGGATCTCAGAAGGTATTTGACCTATATATTACTTACTTACTTACGCTTCTTACTCCCAATAGAGCAGAGGCCGCTCACCAGCATTCTCCATCCAACTGTAACCTGGGCAATCCTTTCCAACTCTTCCCAGTAGTTATATATATATATATATATATGCCTGGTACGAAATGTTATTGAGGTGAGACTATAATTTATGACGCTATAGTAGCCTTGAGCATGTCCACCTACATACTAGGTCTAAATGAAGGTTTCAAATCAGTGTGAGAAATTAGGATTATGGTTTACTATGAATGGTTAGGGTTAGGAGTTAGATTTAAAGTTTTCATGACGAACTGACATCAGCTAAAATGCCAAAATGCTATTTAACTAGGTTTCGCGCCAAAATTCAAGACCTGTTATTGTTAATTAGATTTGCTAGTCTCGCCGATATTACATCTAATAGAACAGTTCACATGATTACTATATAAAATGCATATAGTACATTTATTAAATCAATTTTTTATGAGTTAATTTTAATAAAAGTTTATATCTCGCATATTCCAGGAGTAATTTGAAATCATTTATCTAGGAGATTTCAAAGATTACTATTTCTCAGAATACTCTCTTATATTAATTAACTTTTATGAGCACACTCACCTTATAGCAACAAAGTAGTTGTGAGCTACTAGGAATGGATTCATAGAACTAAATGCGAACTCATCAATGGCTGGAATTCAAAAGTCTATGTTAACCTACCTGATAACGAGGATACTAATTATCAGTTTATCTATATGGTTATGTCAATCAAGATTAAAAATAGTCACTTGAAGTGTAATAAAGGAGTTGCCTTTGATTTTTTTGGAGGTGATTTATAATTTTTATTGTCATAAAAACTCGTGTTTTATTCGTTTTGCGTGAAAAATAGTCCGTCTTGAAGCTAGCCACTAGTGAGCACTTGGAGTTCTAATGAGTTGCCTTGACCAATACAGTTCAACTCGTGTCAGGTGGAGACAGTTATTCACCTCGAATAATGGATGAAGGGTTGAGCAAGATCATGGATCAATTGAATTTAGATATCAACAGCGTTGGATGCCGGGTCATTGACCTAGAGGTTAAGCGTAAGCGTAAGGTTCTGGGTTCGAGTCTCTTGTGCGGGGTTGTGGACGTGCACTGTTGAGGGGTCTCATATTTATCGTTAATAATTTACATTAATCGCATTAAACGTATCGGCATAAGACTATAGCAACTCTCCTACAATCAATTTCAATTATGGTCAATTTTGTTTAACCCCCTTTTACTAACTTACTTAATAGACAATGTTGGTAGCTTAGAAATCGCTCGATAAATCATTATCTTTTCTATGTACATATGTACGCGAGTACTATTATTAACCTCCGCTTTGCCAAGCTGCGCCTTATTAAATTTGACTATAAATTTGCCACTGTATCTGCTCTCGAACACACATTCACCCCTCTGCTTCAACCTCACTCGAGATGCTTGTAGCTTCGTGATCTGTGCTATCCGCTGATTAACTGTAGTGGCCCCTACTTATTCCTTTCTGATTTTAAATACCATTGGGTTTTATATAATAACGGTTATCAAAGTAATTGATCAACAAATCTAAGCTAATACTAGTCTTATGAATTTTATTCGTAACATGAGTCGATTTTATCAAGTTAGTTTCAAACAAACATATGTGTACATGTGATTCTCTTACCTGCTGGACAATACATTGTTTTACCGACAAGAAATAAACAGAATTGTTTGAATTTATTATATTTAGCATTATTATGCCTTTGATAAATAAAACCATGCGGAGCTACACAATAGTCAACGACAACAACAGTAGATGATTCCAATTTGACAAATTGTTTTTGAAGAACAAAATTTGGCATACATTGACTACCATTAATAAATAATGGATAACCAAGCGTCCCTGGATCAGCTATATTGTAGAAATACAAAAATAAAAATCCTTGTATATAGGCAATGTCTATAACATTCTTAACAGTGGTTGTGCAACTACTTGTTAGTAGTTTGAAAAAAATAACGTAAATTTTGAACTGGGAAAAGTATCTAGATACAGTTTGGTGATAGTTTAAATTGAGGTGTGAACAAAATGTTACCAAGGAAATTTCACAATAAGTGTGTATAATCGTTTAGTAAGTAAAGGAATGTTTATCGTCGAACAGGTTTAAGGCACAGTACTTCATTCAAAACCATAGCATCTGAATTAGAGATTGCTTGTAATAAAATAAAATCGTTCTTGTTGAAATGAGTAATATGAAATGTTAACTTAAATCAGCTTAGACGTTAAATGAAACTTGTGGGATTCATGTTTAGCATAAATATAGATCAGATGGAATAAGAGAAATTACAATGCGATTACGAATTTGATCCAATGTCCACTGGAAGACTATTTTATATAAATTCATTTTTGTATTGGTTGTTTGGATGTTATAATTGATGTTTAGGACAACAATTGATCAATCTCTTATTGGTATGTGTGCATCGTGTTCAGATTGCCTCAATATTGCTCGAAGTCATAAGCATTATAAGCAGAAATGGATGGTGGCTAGTAGTGGAATCTAGGACGCGCGTGGATAACGCAATGGCGTTTGAAGATAACGGTACTGAGTTCGAGTTACAGAGTGGACATCGACTCGGATTCAGGTACATCCAGTTGACGAGTTCTAAACAGAGCGCAACGTGAATCCTGATAACCACCATCCATCTCTGCTTATTTTGTGTAAAGTTATATGAAATTAGCAAGCAGTAATAAAGTGGAGTGAATGGTAATTAGGTTAATCACGTATTCGAGAGATTAATAACCATATTAAATCAGTAATAATAATAATGATAAAAATAATAAAGAGATATGTGGATAAAAACAGCAAAGACAATAATAGTTGTCTTCGAAAGTCTGTAAGTACAATAGTCAAATTAACTCATTCAGTAATTAAGATTACTATTGTAGTATCGTGTATTATGTTAAGCTCATATACTTTATTCTGGTTTTCAGACAGGCCAGTCTACTCATTATACTGGAGTCATATTTTCACCTTGTTAATTATCCTCTTTTCGATCTTCACTGTTTTTATATGAGCGTATAAATGTGTGTACACATCTTATCCTATTCATCACATATCTGTATCTTATTTTTGTGTGACTACAAATATTGACTAAGGCTTGACTAAATGTAGTTGGCTTACCCGCCATCTCCACTGCGCGTCGTTCTATTTCGTCCTATTCCATTCGCTTTGTATACAATATATACGTATTCAGAGGTCCATTCTCGCTATTTGACATATTTAATTCCGCTATACACTGAACGCGGATTAAGTCGATAGAGACATACGAAGATAGGCGACATATACAAACCAATAACAATCATTCATGCGATCTACTTGGTGTCAGATTCTGGACCACTAAAATGGAGAGCCTTTTCGACAACATCGTCCGATCTAAATGACGACAAAATAAAGGGCCCTACACTATTAGTCAAGATAAGAGAAGCAATTGATGGTATTACTTTTGTACACATAGTTCCAATTTTATAATACAAATGGCTACTATTTCTTCTATTTGAAAAACTGTGAGTCTAACAGATTTTAGTCAGTCAGTCAGCTACAACGTAGGATCAGGCAGATATATGCATCGGTTCAAGTTGCCATACCTCATTAACACAACAAGATGGACACCGCTCATAAAATTAGTTAATTCAGAGGTGGTAAAATATAAAAGAAAGATTGTGTATAAGGATATAGTACAGGAAGAAAGAATTAGTTAGTAGAAAGAAAGATATTAAGCGATTTGAATCTCTTAGTTTAATGGAAGACAGAGAGTGTATACACCGACACCATTGTGATCGATCCTGAGTCATGTCACCAAGAGTCTCCAACCATTGATTACGATAGTCACGCGGACCCAAACCAAGTAGTCTGCATCTACCAACATGGCTCAGACTAAAAGTATGTAACAGATTTTAGCAAACAATTCAATGATTTCATGAATTTATTGTCGATATAATTATTCCTTTTCAACTAGTTTATTGTATACTACTTATGATGAACTAATACAAATAGTATATATCATGAGTTGAATGTAGAATTCTAACTAACGGAATAGAAACATAACTATAAGAAAAAGCAAAAAATATAACAAATTCAAGTAATCATAACAACAACAACAATTTCAGAATGATATAGTTTCATAAGAGCCAATTCATAGAAGATATACAAATGGTATATTCAATGGTATATATATATATATGACTTTACCTAATCCAATCCATTGAATTACCCTATTGTAGCCTTCATTCATTATACTAGAATAATGACATGATATCTCTATATTGATCAATGAAATTTCACTTGTATTGTTTACATTGGACAAAGCTTAATTAATCAACAACCTACTTAATGTTTACTTAATAACAATAATAATAATAATAATATGAAGGCCTATAGTAATGTATTTATGATATAAACGTTTATAAAAAGGATTTTAAGTGAAAACCTTCAATTATTTACTTCATTCCATTTCAATATGAATAACTAACTCTATACGAATAGGCTAATATGTGTTAATTGAATTGAATAGTTTCATTTAAGGTTAAATCTATTCTACTAATTTCAATCAACTAGTAAGTAGTTCAAATGATTGAATAAAATATTGAATTGATTTATTAAAGATTTGGCCAATTTTCATCTCATTTAAAGTATGTTCTAAGTGAAGTTAAATGGTGGTCAGCAATGGAATCCAAGATGAGAACTTGTCAGCTCGATATACAACTGACGAGTCCCATGTAGGACGAAACATGGGTCATGGATTCCACTGCTAATCAATATCCATCTTTGCTTAGAATGCCTGTGAATTAAGGCAATATCAAGGCAATAGGCACAGAATGTACATATGTCAATAAGAGACTGATCAATTGTAGTTCTAAACAACAATGGGAAGATATAAGTAAACAATATCAAGTATGGTGTTGATTGTTTATGGCTAAATATTTTTATTATATGTAAAATATCATGATGAAGTTTGGTGGAGTCTAATCTATGTCAGACGGAGATAGTTATTTATCTCAGATAATGAATGAAGGGTTAAGTAAGAACAAAGATAAATTCAGCTAAGTCAGTTAGAAAGAAAAGAACAATTTGATTGAGATCATGAACCGATTGATGTTAGACCACCATTGAAAACCTGGGAGCACTGGACGACCGTTTCGTCCCGCTGTGGCACTCCTCAGTCGTGCGTATTCACGATCCCGCGCGCGAACGCTTAACCCACTGAACCACTGAGCTGGCATCCAATGGATGTTATTGTCTAACTTCAACAAATCCACGAACAATTGTCATTTTAATCGTTTCAAGATTCTCATCATATTAAAAGACTAGTATTTGGACGACTAGTGAAATATTAAATCAAAGATCACTCAGGACAATACAAAAAACGCCGGAGAACTGCGATTAGTGTTTTCTATGCGCCCAATGGTAACACCGAGGCTGAAAGATAAATTCTCTAGAATGACCACCTCATTTTGTATTTATTAGTTCGACTGCTCCTGTGGAGCGAGTTATATTGGTCGAAGTTCTAGGAATTTACATTTTCATGCTCGTAAACACCTCCCAGCGTAGCTAAACAAAGGTTTGATGAAGAAAGTGAACAGCTCGATACTGGCCCATTTATTACAAACTGGTCATTGTGCCAGTATAAACCAATCATTTTCAATCATTTATAAGGTCAGTAATTTTCTACCAAAAATTGTCAGAATTAAAGTCCTTCAAACGGCTAAAGCAGTAGCCATCCGGATGAAGAAACAGAACTATGCGTACAAAAGAAATATCTTCAATCACTCCTCGTGCCCTGGCCAACATCAATGCCAATTAATCAATAGTAATCTTAGCCATTGAACGACCTAATTTGACTACGACCTCTCTCAGTCAATTGTAATTGTCTCTCATCTTTATTCACAAATCTTTGTCTTACTATTATTATTATTATTACTATTGGTTAAATATCATTATTAATCTCCCCTATACATGATTCGTTCACTTCTCATTTATCCCTCTTTATTACGTCTTACTAATTTTTCACACAATATAGCCTTCCACAAAACATTTGACCAAATTGTAATTGCACTATTATTTCCCTCACCCTATCTAACCCATATTTAATTCTGATCATGGATCTTAAATTTCACTTAACATATACGCAGATTCAAGGCAACATTCTATCTGAGTCATATCAACATTAAAAATTTTATTGTATTTTGATTGAGATCATGAACCGATTGATGTTAAAGCACCGTTGCTCACTAGTGACTAGCTTCGTGAGGAAATTCTCGGAGTTCTAGTGAGAAGCTGTTACCAGTGGAGCCAGGTATCTACCTCAGTACAATGGAAGATGGTCGTGCGATTCCGTGGATTGGTTGATGTTGGACACTAACACCATTGGATGCCGGATCAGTGATCCAGTAAGTTAGGCATTCGCACGGGAGACTCAAGGCCCTGGGTTCGAATCCCTCGAGTGGGATGCGCACTGCCAAGGAGTCCTGCAGTGGAACGAAACGGCCGTCCAGTGGTTCCAGGTTTCCAACGGTGGTCTAACATTAATCAGTTCGTGATCTCAATCAAAAACTTAATAATCTCCACAACCCCTAAACTGTTTACTGTAGTTTGTTTAACAATCCGAAATTTTAATTTTAATTTTCTAAACAAATTGTTAGTTACTATGTGAATTAGTTTTAATTAAATGAGAAACCATTAACAAGAAATTAGAGGTTTGTTTGCTTAAGGTTTATTAAGGAAACAGATGAATTCTATTGAAAAAAAGATTAGTAGTGAAACTTTTATCATTTTATGATGTAATCAATAGTCTGAGATGTTGTAATACATAGATTCAACATTATAATTCTATCAGAAGGGGTTTGTTCAGATTTTAGAAATTTCACAGATTGAAAACCTTTCTGATAATAATTATCATGTGCTCACTAGTGACTGACTTCAAGAGATACTCCTGGAATTCTAGTGGGAAGCCGTTAGCAGTAGAGTTCAACCAGGTCTGTTGTGAGATATCAACTCACTGAAGACAATGGTGTACGGTGGCGCAACTTCGTGGATTGGTTGAAGTTAGACATTAGCACCGGTTGGTCTCGGCTTAGTGGCCTAGTGTTTGAGTGCTCATTTGCGAGACTGATAGGTCCTGAGTTCGAATCTCGCGGGGTGCGGAGTCGTGGATGCGCACCGCTGAGGAGTCCAGGTTTTCCATGGTGGTCTGGCCTCAATTGACTCATGATTTAAATCTGTGAAACAATTATTATTATTTTTATTAATCATTGACTAATCTGTGTTAATATTGTTACGTTGTGACTGGAGAAAGTCATCAGAAAACTTGACTTGATTTATATTTCGTTTTAGTTGGAAATTTTCAGAAAAAGTTACTTGTATTCTTGGGAAAGCTGATACTTACTAACGGATTTGAAACAGAATTATCTAGCTTCTTAAACTTAATCCTTATTAGTAGGAGTTTTGGACCTTATATGAACTTCTTTAAGACTAAGAAGTTTATATTACTTGATTACTGAATGATAATCAATCAATCTTATGTTTTTCTTGTTTTTGGTATTGATTGAATTCTGTCGGTTAACGGTTCGAATACCACACAGGAAGTACCAATTCACTTAAGAATTCAGGTAGGTTTTGTTTGTGGGTACCAGCTAGCACATCATCTAGATTTGTAGTTGCCTCTAAACTACCTCTGATCATCTATTATGGTGAATATGACCAAACTCTATTGTTTAAGGGAGTGAAGTTTAATTTTCACAGTCAATCAGTAAAAATTAATGTTTAGAAAAGAGAAAAAATAAAGAAGAAGTAACTTACAACATTTTGGTATATCACAATTTTGTATACCAGAAGAAACACCACGAACTTTAATTGGATAACACCATGGTTGGGATTTTACACCGCCTGGATTTCGACATGAACGAAAATTGTCAAGTTCATAATCGGAGGTGCTTAGTAATTTACTAGTTGTCTCATTATATTGTAGACGATATCGATAAATTGGTCCAATTTCTTTACGTGAATTACTAATTCTCCATTTCGCACAAGGCTAAAATGTAAACAGTATACAATATATATATATATATATATATATATATATATATATATATATATATATATATATATATATATATATATATATATATATAAAGTTGAATATGTTTAGAAGATAATTTCAAGTCTTGTCTGTGATATAATATATTGGATTAAGTTAGGTTTTTCGGTGAGACTATAATTTATGGACGACCTTTAAGCGATGCTAGACGGACCTTGGCAGTGTCCACCTAATAACTAGGATCAAATGAAGGTTATAAACCAATGTGAGGAATTAGAATCATGATTTACAGTTGATGGTTAGGGTTAACAATTAGATTTACGGCTTTCATCATGAACTGACATCAGCTATAATGCCAAAACTCTATTTAACCAAATGAATGAGTGAATTTCGCGCCGAAATCTGAGACCTGATAACTTACAAGTAATTGTTTTGTTCATAAATTTTAGTCTCGCCAAATTTTCTTTTACAAAGTACACTTTGTGTACAAGCATAATTTATGTAAGCAAAAAAGTTTTGGAACTGTAACATAGTAAATATTAAACTTAACCATCATATGAATATGTAGTGACCTACTTTTACCAAGAGAACGCGATTGATTTAATGGAAACAAGCATTATTATAACCAATTGTACCAGTGATTGTTTTACTGTGCTCGTTTGTTTAACTGTACTAAAGACAGCCATATTACTGCTCCATTACCTTTCGATTGTGACATTGCACGGGTTAGGTTACGCTCGGTAACCACGCTTGTACTCCTTTGGCACGATCTCGGTATCCTTTCGATACCATGAGATCGCCAACAAATACATTTCGACTACAGCCATCAACTGCCTTTTGATATTTGGCTTACAGGGGATTTTATCGGTTAACTGGCACGTAGTCTTCTTGTAGTGGTGTCCATAGTCAATCACGACTTGACTCCACGCTACAAATATATGAAACATTATTCGATGATTTCCTGTTAATAGTTTATAGTAATCTATTCATGTGTTGGAATGATTAATGACTAGCTTACACCATGGATTGATATTAATTGGATTACTATTTAAAATCAGAAAACATTGAGTTGCTATATTATTACTAATATGAGATTTTTCGGTAGTGTTCATCTATAATCTTGACAAAGGTTGAACCTAGGATATTCAGTATCTCGATCATTGACTAACTTCTTTACCACTGAGCTAGCATCCAACGATCTACATATTTGAATTTAATTAATTAGCGAAGTTATGTGCTTATTTCTCATCACCTGAAGTGTTTGAATCTTACTAGTCAAGATTGTTTTGCTTACTAGAACTCTTGAAATTGATTCTAGAAGTTAGTCACTATTGAGTACAAGATTATTATTGGTGTATAGAAGTTTTAAAGAGACTATTTAAATTTTTACAGTTTACATCACTGATTAACCTTAGTTAGATCGTCAATAAAATATAATTTAATGTATGACATTGTACTTTAAACACAATGTCAAAATATTTTCAGAAGGAGTTTTGTGGAGATTTTAGAAATTTCACTGATTGAAATCATGAGTCAATTGAAGCTAGACCATCATGGAAAACCTGGAAGCACTGGGCGACCATCTCGTCCTAGTATGGAGCTCCTCAGCAGTGCGCATCCACAACCCCGCACCCTGTGAGATTCGAACCCAGGACCCATCAGTCTCGCGCCAGGCGGGATGAGCACTGCTGAGGAGTTCCATACTAGGACGAAACGGCCGTCCAGTGCTTACAGGTTTTCCATGATGGTCTAACTTCAATTGACTCATGATTTCAATCAGTGAAATTGCCAAAATATTTAAAAATAATATTACCCAGCAACAAAATTTCACACAGATAATCGATTAGATTCAGATGAAAATTATTGATATGGGTAAACTGTAGTTTGAATTGATCTAAGGTTACAGTATATCAAGATGATTGTTATTGAAGCTATAGATTTCCAAATGAAATGATCGTATAGTATACATATATAGTGTCATTAACAAATAAGAAATCTCTCAATGCCTATTTAATTTCAAATGAATTTTTCAAGATTCATAGTTTATATCATGAAATTAACTAATGGTACTAACTCCCTGGTCTAAAGAATAAACTGTTATCATGAACGCTTATGGTTCAGAGCTAGATTGTTGGAGTGATCATGATTGTGAACATGTGAAAATATTCAAAGTTTGCGTTTCGCTAAATGATAACGAGATTGATTGAGTGTGTGTGTGTGTGTGTGTATTATTTCTAATATTATTCAAATCAACTGAGTGAGTCGATACGTACGAATCACGTTTTGCAGTGAACGAGATGAACTCCAAACTGGATATTAAAATGTTGTTTGTTAAACATAAATGTAAAGAATTCAGTGTTTTATTGAGTTGAATTAAGCTAATTCGAGTAGACATCTTTCAATTATTATTTTGTTGTTTAAATTTGACCCATCTTGGTTGGGTTAATGAAGCTGAATAATAAAACAAGCTGTTAATTGAAATTAATGTCTCAGAGATATATTTATTAAACCAAACTTGGTTGTAGTGACCATTGTCATGCATGTCAAGTCCTTTCTCGTTCCAATGTGGTTACTAGTTTAATTGACTCGATATCGCGTACACTATGTTGAGATGTAAGGTGATGATTGGAGATAGCTGACTGGAAACCCTGAATTTAAGTTTCATACTATATGGCACTCGTCAGTAAAGTATACCTGTGATCTTGAGGGAACTGTTTCTCCCTGTTGGATTTGATCTCTTATAACCCGACTTCACAGTCGATCGAATTACCAATGAGTCGTGAAATAGGTCACTACTTAGTGATCAATCGATTGTAAATACGTCTCAGTCCTATAGGACAGCGAAAATTCCAAGGTTGTTCAGAATCTAATTCAAAGTCATTCATAGAATGTTGTTAAATTGTTACAGATATTCGTATATTTCTGGATTTTATTAGTTCTCTGTCATCTGTTTAATATAACCTTTAGTATTTCATTATTTGGACGCATAGCATTCTAAGTTTTGCACTAAATACAGACTTTATTTAATTAGATATCCACTGAAAACCAGGAGCCATTGAGTACCGGATTTTTTATTCTAGCATATAACATCTAACTATTGAACATGGACAACTCCACCATAGATCTGACCTAAAACCTTCAGCGCTCGTAACTAATGTTTTAAATCCAGATCACTGGTTGATACATATTGCCAATAAAAACGTGACTCGAATATTATAAAATGTTAAATATCCAATGTTATTGCCCTTTAGTAAACCCAAAAACAAATGTTGTATGAAATATCATTTTCAGCTTACTTGTCCATCAGATGTTTGATCTTGATCTCCATTATAATCTGCTCCATTCCCTTCATAACAACCAATATGTTCAGCTAAAATTGAATAAGGGAACAAACTCAATAAACTGATATTTCTCATCAACATTAACTTATAAGAAAATAATAGTTAGTCTATGTATTTTGTTGAAAAAACAACTCAATAATTCAAGTGTGATACAAATATCACTCCTGCTGTAAGCCATGAAGGTCCTAAGTTCGATTCTTGATAAGATCTTGAGAGGATAATGTAGCTGATTCTCATGAAAGGACGAAATAGACAATTGACTGGTTCCTGCTTTTTAATGGTTGTCTAAGTAAATCGACTCAGTGATTTGATTCATGAAATCTACTTATATGATGGTATAAATCTTGTTTGATTCTTGTAGATATATCTAACAATTGATCAATTAATTGGTTAATTGATTTAATTCTTCAATGAAAATAAGACGAGGAGTTATTACTGTATGATGGCCTGGTATTCATAATTTCGTCGTTGAACGGTCGGACATATCACCAGGAAGAATAGACATAAAGTTTGGCTTCAATTAATCCTAATTCATCACAGTATAATCTATTGATAGGGGGGGGTATCGCATTTTCCTCAGAATAAATTTGGATTGATAAATATACCAAAAATGAATACGTAAAAGTACTTTTATCCAACAAAAAAGGTTTATGGTGACCGGATTGAGATTATTTCATTGACTGTTAGTCTGAGCTGTACGTAAATGTTTAGACCTACTGATTGGTACCTATTAGATGATCATAATAAGCTATTAAAAACTTTAGAATGACGTTAAAATTAATCGCCTTATTGTAAATCCTTTTATTGTATAGTTCTTTTCTATATTGTGGATTATTATTACTGTCATATAATTCCTAATATTTGCCCCCGGAAACCCTCGAGGGTTACTGCAGGTCCCAAACCGAGATAAAGGAGGAGGGTTGGTCATGAAGTTACCTACCTCATCTCTTAAAAAGGTCTGCTAAAAACACTAAGCGGAGAAATCTTCCTAACAATTTAAACTTTGCCTCGGGAGTTGAATAATCTTTACTTAGAAAAGTCATGAAGCCCCATAATAAGAGGTGAGATTATTCAAAAATCATGAGGCTGATGCCCGTTGTGACAATCAAAGCAACAATTAGATACATGGAATGTCTGGACAATGTGAGAGATCAGAAAAGTCATTCAAATATTGATGGTAATGACAGAATACAGCCTGGTTGCGCTTGAAATAAGTGAAACCCCTTTGAACGCGAGCTGGACAGAAAGGACTAGCTTTGGTAGGGATTATGTTGTTTTTCGGTCACAAAGAAGGAAATCCCTCAAACATAAAAGACATTTCCCTGATGCTGTTAAAACGAATACTGAAAGCACTCACAGGATAGGAAAATCTTGGTCCTAGGGTCATCAAAGCATCCGTCAAAAAAAGAAGGAAGGAGTTATATTGAATGTAATAGACTACTGGTTAAAGATTCATTCAACGTATAGACCAGCAGCCTTATAAAAGCCTAATACAGAAGTAACATTCAAGATCAAAATCAGAGTTCTTAACACTAACGTCAAAATGTTTCTGTTGTAAGGATCTGAAACTTGGAGGACTTCTATAGTTAATACAAAAAATACAGGTATTTATAAACAATTATCTACATAAGATACTCAGTGTGTGTTAACCCGATACCATCAACAACAAACTACTGTGACAGAGAACAAACCAGTTTCCAATTGTAGAAGAGATTCAGAATAGACGTTGAGAGTGGATAGGACGCATGTTGAGGAAATCGTCAAATTACATCACGAGACAAGCACTAACTTGGAATCCTGAAGGCAAAAGGAAGAGAGTTGGACCAAATACCACATTTCATTGGTAATTGGTGGTAGACATCGAAAGAATGAATATCAACTGGAAACAACTGGAAAGGAGAGCTTAGATCAGAGTTGGATGGAGATCCCTCGTCGATGGTTTATGTACCATGAGGTGTCCCATACCTTAGTAAGTGACTCAGCCCTAATGTACTACTGTAAAATGTGGCAACTTGGGCCGATGCAGATAGATGCCAATGGCTATGTTGTATATCGCTGACTGATGATGAACTTCATGGCTGAAAATCACTTAAGTTTTTTTAATTCTAACCTGACCAGCAATGTTACGTATACATTTTAAAACAATGGATCAGCCAAAAATCGGCCAGATGGCAGGTCCATGTGACTGGCCAAAATGTGGCCCACTTTTCTAAGGAAGGAAATACATTATTGACTGGTAAATATATATATTTATATGAATGGATATAGAGTTACTTCGAGATCCGATTGAGCAATAAAACTATCTTTTCATTCTTATTCTTTTTACCAAGTATCTTGTTTAGGCTCAAGAATAGTAAGCTTGTTTATCAGCACAACAAAACACATGTTTTTATTTGGCTTCAAATGTAACCTGTTATTTCTTTTCATTTGAAGAGTAAATATATGATTAACAATAAAGAACATGGTTTGATTGTCTTTTATTTCTCAATGAGCCAACACTTTTATTCTTTAAACATCATCTTCAACACTTCAGAATGTCCCTCGTGATATTCATGAAACTGACGTAACTTGAATATAAGCCCTATAGACTAGAGATTAACAAATAAACCGTTATGGATAATCAGATATAACTTATCAAATGTGGTAATGCTATTGTTGAGTTGATCACTCAGAAATGAAGGAGATGTTAAGCAGCTTTTTTAACTTTGACTTAGAAGATATTTTAAACTTAATGCGTAATAAAGCCAATTTTTGATAACAATTTTAATTAAGGAAATAATATATCACATAGAATTACTCTTTTAATTGATACCTACTTAGTAACCAATACGATATTTTCAGGAATCATAAACTGATTTAAGTAAGATAACCATTGGAAAGCTGACAGCATCCCTACAACGAAATAGATGTTCAGTGCTTCAAGGCTTTCAATGGTTGTTTAAATTCATTCCGGTAGATGATAATAAAAATAACTACTAGGCATAATTTATAAATTTAGACTATAATTGATTGGCAGTTTAGGTGTTGTGGAGATTGTTAAGTTTTTGATTGAAATCATGAGTCAATTGAAGCTAGACCACCATGGAAAACCTGGAAGCACTGGACGGCCGTTTCGTCCTAGTATGGGACTCCTTAGAAGTGCGCATCCACGACCCCGCACTGCTGAGGAGTCCCATACTAGGACGAAACGGCCGTCCAGTGCTTACAGGTTTTCTATAATTGATTGGCTTGAGTAACTCATAATATTTTGCCTTGAACGTTTAAACCTATTCCGGAATCCATGAATTTATAGGTAATACTAATCAACACTATACTATAACCTTAAAGTAACACTTAGAAATAGATATAATTGTTCGAAGTTAAGCAATATATGTCGAACATGATCTGTACAAGTTGTAGATAATGTTAGTAGGTACATGGGACGTTCGGACAATGTGGGTGACCTGGAGGACCAGTCAAAGAGTTACGAAAGTGAGGAGATGCAACTTGACGGTGCTCGGAATAAGTGAAATCCTTTGCATCCAAGCTGAACAGAAAAGGACAGATTCTGGAGAGATGCTGCTGTACTCTGGTCACGAAGAAGAAAATGCTTCACACATTCAGGAAGTTGCTCTAAATCTGTCTAAAGAAGCATATAATGCACTTATACGATGGGAATCTCACAGATGCAGGATCATCAAGGTATCCTTCAAAACAAAAAAGGAGGGGAACACAATGAATATTATACAGTGTTATGCATCCACCAATGATAGCAATAAAGACGATAAAGATCAGTTTTACGAGTGGCTGCAGTCGACCAAAACTATTGTGCTGGGAAAACTAAACGCCAAAGTCGGAATAGAAAACACCGGATATGAAGATATCATGGGACGACATGAACTGGAAGAAAGGAACGAAAATAACGAGAGATTTGCAAATTTATGTCCATTCAACAAAATGGTTATAGGCGGTACAATATTCCCACACAAACGCATACACAAAGCTACATGAGTCTCACCAGACCATTCTACAGAGAACCAGATCGATCATATTTGCAATTGAAGAAGAGATTCGGAATAGACGTTGAGAGTAGATAGGACAAACCTGTAAGCACTGGACGGCCGTTTTATCCTACTATGGGACTCCTCAGCAGTGCAAATTCACGATCCCCCACAAGTAATTCGAAACTAGGACCTTCGGTCTTGCGCCGGCACTCGACCTCTAGACCACTGGGTTGGCATTCAGTCGTTTAACTTCAATCAATCCACGAATTTGTGCGACCGTCTTCCATCGTCTTTGGTGGGTACCTATCCCATACTTGGACGAAACAGCCGTCCACTGCTTCAGGGTTTTCAACGATGGTCTAACGTTAATCAATTCATGATCTCAATCAAAAGGTACTTTTTTGAAAATGTATGATTTTCATTCCTTACCCTATCAGTCTGTACATTATTGATTCATACATAGAGAATGTTTTTCCAATGTATGACTTGCTTAAATGTATCAAATTTCTAAGGTTTTTATGAGTTTACTAATCTATTTTGGTCAATGACTTTTCTACTGGTATTGATTGAGGGCAGTCCTATATGACAGATCGTTAATTTCCAGTTGTTAAGTTAGGAAAACTATCAATTTTTGACGACTTTAAATGAAAACCTTTTAAAACCTCATTCATAGTCCTACCCACATTATCACTATTGACTTTTTATAATTGCTTCAAGGATTCAACTGAGTATACCAGATCATCATCGACCGGTACTCAGTGTCATTTACAATATTCTTCTGATGATTAACTGACTTTTATTGATAATGTCTAAAATGTAGATATTAGGCCAGTATTAAGCTCTAGTTATTCGATTAGAAGGTGCAGGGTCAAATCCTTGAAGAATTAGTAACTTTCCACCGTTAATTTGTCCCATACTGGGAAGCTACAACTGTCCATCGCTTCCTGATTTTCGGCGAGTGTCGAAATAAAATTAATTTCAATTCAGTCATAAATTCAAAAACGGAGAAAAATGAAATTTAACATCATTTATAAATAAATTGACACTACATGTGATATCGGTTCATAAAGGTTAACATTCTAAATTAAACAAATTTCTTTCAACATCAGTAATATGTTTCTAGGTAGATGTTTCGATTTTCTGGTTGGAGTTAAACATTAATACAGTTGGATGCTGGCCGGCTCAGTGGTCTAGAGGTTGAGCGTTTGCGCGCAAAACCGACAAGTCCTGGGTTCGAATCATAAGTTGTGAAATCATGGATGTGCATTGCTGAGGAGTCCCATACTAACAGCCATCCAGTACTTCTAGGTTTACCATGACGGCCGAGCTTCAATTGACTCATGAATTCAACTATGAAATTCCTAGAATGTTTGTGAATTATTGAGTTCAAACTTAGTTACAAATATAAAGGACAATTGTATTTTATTTCGTAAATTTGGTAAATGATCAAAGTAAGAATTAGTCAATATTATGTATACATAGTTCTTGAAGATCTTCAAAATTTCACTGATTACTCAAAAACCTTCTATTCAGATTTTGAGATTTCCTACTTTATTTATCTACGGCTCATGTTTGTCTAGTATAGAAATACATAGTCATGGATTGATCTTATTTAGGATCTCATTAAAAGGCAGAAAGCATTAGATAGTTGATTCGTTCAAGTATGAAGATCTTCAACAGTAGATACAGTTGTTACAAATTCCATTAGATGATCGTCTTACTATAAATCTTAAATTAATTGAAGCTAAAAATAATACATCAGTGAACAAACAACCCAGTAATTTTAATAGTTCAACAATTGATGTGAGATCTTTGGGTCGTGACCAGTTGTAAAAATGGATTATACGGAGAGACTACAATTTATAGACGAACCAATCACATATAAGATATCAGGTCTCGGATTTTGGCGCGAAATTCACTCATTCATTTGGCTAAATAGAGTTTTGACATTATAGCTTTTTGTGGGGCTCGTTATTTAATCGTCATTTAGATCGGACGATGTTTGTTGACGGGCTCTCCATTTTAGTGGTCCAGAATCTGACACCAAGTAGATCGCATGAATGATTGTTATTGAATTGTATATGTCGCCTATCCTCGTATGTCTTTATAGACTTAATCAGCCTTCAGTGAATAACGGAATTAAATAATTCAAATAACGAGAATGGACCTCTGAATACAAATGCTTTTTATACAAAGCGAATGGAATAGGACGAAGTAGAACGACGCGCAGTGGAGATGGCGGGTAAGCCAATTCCATTTAGTCAAGCATTAGTCGATATTTGTAGTCACCCAAAAATAAGTTACAGATATGTGGTGAATAGGTAAGATGTGTACACACATTTATACGCTCATATAAAAACAGTGAAGATCGAAAAGAGGATAACTAACAAGGTGAAAATATGACTCCAGTAGAATGAGTAGATTGGCCTGTCCGTAAACCAGAATAAGGTATATGGGCTTAACGCTACAAGCTTATGTCAATTTGTGATGAAAACCGTAAATCTGATTCTTAACCCTTAACCATCAACTGTAAATCATAATTTCAATTTATAACCCTCATTTGATCCTAGTTATTAGGTGGACACTCTCAAATGTCGTCCATAAATTATGGTCTCACTACAATAGTTATTTGAACAATTTCATTAACGACTATCTCAGGGAGAAAATACATCAAGGTGAATGTCAAATTTAATAGCTATCTAGTTGATGAAATGCTGTCACCCCCCCCCTAAAATAAAGAGTTTCCATGTTAAACATGAACATTTGAACTGTTGAATTCAAATAACACTTCGAAAACGGGTTAACAAAAGCTTCTCCTTATTGTCTACATCATTATATATACAGAAATATGGTTCCATATATTCATAATACTAAGGAAACTTATCAGCATAAACATAGAGATCTATATATCTTTTTTATTTATTTTAAAAGAAAAACAAAAGTATAACAAATCACTAACCACATCTTGGTACATCACAATATTTAAATCTTCCTAAACCAACAACACACCATGGACCAGAAGAATCATTTCCTGGATTACGACAATAATTTTTATGTTTTCTAGCTTCATCATCAGACCAATATGGTTTATAAAATGATTTATGATCTATCCAATCTAAACATTCTGTTCCATCAAATGCTATATTCACTTTGCCACGATAATTTCCAGAACGACATTTCATTGGATCATATATATTTAATTCATTTAATTCTGTTCTATCAATTGTTTGAATGAATTCAATACATAAAAAGCAATACAGAATAATGAACAATGAATAAAAGCAATTGTAATGATGATAATGATTATGACCAGTCATTTTGTGATCGGGAAACTTTAAAGGAGCGATAAATAGTTCCTCGTGTTTCTTGGATATTATATACGTATATGCAATGGTATGCGAATATTTATGTGTATACACTTACCACAAAGATGATAGATGCTTAATGAATTCATCCTATTTGAAAAGTTTACAATTCTATATGAGCACACACATTTATTTGTATACATATGTGTATAGGTATATAAATATTAAATATATTTATCTCTCAAGGTTCATTATGATTCCAATTGAATAATTGAATGTTCAAGTGGTACATCCGGTTTTCATTTGAAATGGTGAAGTATAGATATATTTGTACAAACAAGTTTGTAAACACAGTATATATATATATATATTATATATATATATTATATATATATATATATATATGGATTGACAGTGTAAGTATGGTTTAGGCCTATTAATTATCACTATTATTACTACTACTTAAATGACTGTCACAAGTAGTAAAATATATATAATCTATAATTTAGTGCAATTTTTATGATCAAATTATGTAATTTATAAATAAATTACTTTTTATATATTTATTATTAATAATTATTATCTAAAAATGATTGGCAGACATTCTATTATAGTCTATTGTCTATGCCAAAATCACATGAATTCAGTAATATATTTATGTATAAATCTATAAATGAACTTGTGGATAGAATGTATTTCTTTTGTCAGACAAATTAATAGTTTATGTTAATAGTTGAATTTATGAGTCAGTTGAAACTAGACCACCATGGAGAACCTGGAAGCATTGGACGACTGTTTCATCCCAGTATAGGACTCCTCATTAGTGTACATTCACAATCTTGACTCGTCAGATTCAAACCCAGGATCTATCGTTCACTTGGTATTGTTTGGTTTGTATCTTCCCATTGAGGTTTAAGACTGCAATTGATCAATCTGTTATTGGTATATGTGCATACTGTGCGTATGCCTCGATATTGCCTTAATTCACAAACTTTTTATAAGCAATAATGGATAGTGGACAGCAGTGGAATCCAGGACACGCGTTTCGTCCTATTGGGCCCCGTCAGCTGGATGTCCCTTCAACTATCGGTTTCGCAGTAATGCTTAACCTCTAGACCACTGAGCCAGTCAGTATCCAATGGCCGTCCAGTACTTCCAGGCTTTTTATGGTGGTCTAACTTCAATTGACTTATGAATTCAATTATAAAATTGTTATAATATCCACAAAACCCTTCTCCGATTATCATATTTTAATGTCTATTCTTTTAAAGGACCAGGTCGTTTTTAATGTTTTTGGTGATATTGATGGATTTCTTTGTGTTCTCTGAGTTGAAAGTTTTGATTTGTGGAGCTTTCAACGTTCTTATAAACGACATCATTAGCTCAAACTTCAGGTGGATGTAAAATGTTCGAATTTCTCCATATATATATATATATATATATATATATATATGGCATATAGCTTATCCTGTAGACCTCTATATTGATTAGTTATTATTGACCATAAACCTGTTATTGTTTACTTCTTTATTTTGGTTTTTATCTCCTATTGGTTTGATTCTTTTTTGGGGAAGGGTTGATAATTTAACAATAAAAAATGTGAAAATATTGTTATTGTATTCACTTTTGAACATATTCACTAAGTGTTGTAGTAATTTTGTAGATAAAAGGGGGGTATATTATATAGGACAGTGAGATTTTGGCTAGATTGTTCTTGAATATCCTTTTGTAGATCCTCAAATTGTATACTTGGTTTTCATTATAAGTGACAACTTCAACCTTACCTGTATTATCTGATAAATGATCGTGAATTACTTTAACCATTGACTAGATGTGTTATTGTGGTGTTTGAATGAACTAATGATTCATTTGTACTTCTTGAATGCTTGATTTCGAACTCCAAATACAATACATCCGTTCGTGCTTATCTAGTACTTCTTGATCCAATTGCGTTATTTCTGTGATTCTTAGTTTATACTATAATTCAAATACTTTTAATCATCACATTGGCGTCGCGATTGAGCCTGTGATGGAAGTGTTGGATGTACATTCAGATTTTGATGCTTTTGAGGATTACTTTGAAAGGTTCGAAATTTTGGCTATGACTAAGGAAGATGATAAGGATGTTAATATTGTAGCACATTTCCTCACGTTCATCGGAAAAGAAGCATATAGCTTATTAAAAACTCTGGCTTTACCGGAAAAGCCCATTTCGCTTCCTTATACAGCTCTCAAGGATCTACTGCTAGACTATGTTAAGTATACAAATTTCGAATGTGGTAAAGGAGGAAGATTTCGTAAAATGATTCATGGGGATACAAAAAATTCCACTACATTACGTCACCCCAACCCAGTTCATACTCAAAGTTATGCAGATAATTCATTGAGGAGTTGCGATGCAGTTCACGAAGATGGGCACAAGTTTGATCAATGCTTGTCCTGTGGCAGGTTCCACTCTTTTAATTCATGTAAATTTCGTGATTCTAAATGCTTTAAATGTGGTGATGTTGGACATATTCAGTCAGTTTGTAATACTACTGTTCATCTTGCTGCAACGAATATTAAGTCTTGTAATTCTGATTCTATTAAGTTGAGTGTTTATAATGATCATTTATCTTTATCAACGATTTCAAAAAACAGTGTAGAGTCGTATAGCAGTTCGGAGTTAAATGAAACTCAGAATTCCTGTGAGACAACAGATTCTAATCAATCAACTTATCATATTTCTCATGTTATCGTACCAGATATGGTTTTTCCTAATGATTCACTTATTTCTGACGAAATTCCTTGCAAATCTGAGGAAAATATTTTGAATGAACCTAGTCATGATAGAAAACCTGATGTAGTTTTGATAGATGCTGATTTTTCTAATGATCTTTTACTCTGGAATGACATTCTTAATAAATGCGAGTAAACTATTTCAGAAGAATCAAATCTTGATGTTCTATCAAATACTATTTGTCCTGATAATGCATTTGTTGCTTGTGAGAAACTTGTTCAGTGCGAAGCACAAGTACTAAGTGAGCTCGAGTTTGTTTACAATTCGGATGATTTAATATCAACTGCTGTTTATCCTTGTCACAAAGTTACTTCTAATGCTTAATCTAGTCAATGTGGGAAATATGTTTTAAATGAAGCCACATCATTCATAACTTGGGGATATAAAGATCCAACATTATTTCGTAGGGGAGGATAGTGTTGGGAAATCTGTGCTTTAAATTCTAGATAGTGATTTCGGTACACAACCGACACGGCGATTGTATACAATCCCAGGACCCAGGTGAGTCTGTTCCGATTTCGGTTGTTAATTTCAATACTAATGAGCATATTCTAGATAATAAAGAGCTTTTATCCAATACAATGTCGGACAGACACAGGATGAACTTAAGAAGTCGTACAATCGATTACAGACACTTAGACTCTAATTTAAGCTGTGGCGGATGTAGTGTTTGGATGAACTAATGATTCCTTTGTACTTCTTGAATGCTTGATTTCGAATTCTGAATACAGTACATTCGTTTGTGGTTATCTAGTACTTCTTGATCCGATTACGTTATTTCTGGGATTCTTAGTTCGTACTATAATTCAAGTACTCCTGATCATCATAGTTATCCGTTTATGGTATCATTGATTTGTATATCTGTCTTTAAGCCATAATTCTTGTGTAAGAATTAGATATACTTTCCAGTCACCTAATATAATTTGAGTAGATGATTTGATATGAACATGTAACTGAGTGATTGAGAGTTGGATACTTTAACCAGCATAGTAGCTTTACAATTATGGTATATTTATAGATATTAGTAGAATGTTCCAAGCCAATTTCCACTTACAACATAGTTTATTCTCAGCATGATCTAACAATCATATTTACTGTAATATATTCTACGGTTAGAATTATTCTTTACAATCCAAAATGTTTTAATGTACAAAGTGAATAAATAAATGTTCGATGTTAATCATTATAAACTTGTATATATGACCAGATTTCATAAACCATCAATTGATTTGGTAACATGACTAATCAATGGGTCACATAAGTCATCAATACATCATACCATTGAAATTCTAAATTGACTATCAGTTTATTAGAATTTTTGTATCTTGTTAGAAATCAGTCTAAAGTCATAGTTTCCATGGTACATGTTTTTCTGAAACAAACAGTAAGTTAATAACAACAAATGAGAATGATACAAATACAAGTAGGTTTCATAATGAATTCAGTAATAAAATTATGATTGGAATATAATTGTGTCTTCTGAAAAGAAATACTTTTTACCATTGTAGTGAATGAGAACACAATTGGGGGACAATTGAATGTTAGATAGTGGTTGGAGGTAGTCGACAGAAAACCCTGGACCCGGGTTTCGTGCTGCTTGGCACTCGTCAGCAAGGTGTACCAGTAGTCTTGCGGGAACTAATGCTCCCTGACGGTTTCGATCTCGTGTCACCCAGCATTCGACCTGCACTAATAATAAGCATTAGACACGCATGACATTGATCGGCACCCAGTGATCAATCAATTGTGACAATTGAATGTATTTGAACACAACATTACAGCATATCTTAGTAAAATCTGAGAATCATACAGTAAATAGTTCATTTGCAAAATGTTCATTGATTGTCTCAAACGTGACTGTTCCTTTTGTGAAATATCAGTGAATCGTCTCCGACTTTATTGTTCCTGCATTGTCATACTTATTGCTTTTTGGTCCCGTTCTTTTCTTCTCGATCATCTGATTCCAGACATTCTAATCCTGACTATTGTTATACACTATTCATGTCGATATAAGTAGCATACATCACACCATGACCAGAATGATATAACGGAAAAAGCAAAAAATCAGTTGGATTACATCAGAGCTCATGTGATTAGGCCGTTAGATTATCAATTATTTAGTTTATACTGCCAGAAGAATCGATGACCCTCATTTACGAACCATTGAATAACAAACAAATTCCTAAACCTCAGTGCTTCGCAAGCTCCTTCTAACTCATGTTCTAGATAGAAG